TCTTATTGATTGAAATTCAAATATAGGTGGTTTCCTGTGTTTCTTCTCTTGTGCCTTATCACAGAGTACTGGATTATGGTCCAGTGATATTGCTGACTGGCGTAATCCTTTACCATAAGAGCTCCCTGCCTACACAATAGGGAAAGGCCTACCCCTAGTTGCAGAGTATGTTGGGTCCATTTAGCATACCTTTGGGTAGTCAGTGTCTCTGGATAGCAGATCCAGATCGCATAATTTCACTGTTAAATCTATGCAGTCTTATGGAGTTCCTGAAGACCACACTGGTCAAGATGTGTGTAAATGGGCTACCACTTAATTGTTGTCATTAAACATGTAGCGCATTGTCTATGGCTTCTGCTCTGCCTGCAGGCAGGGTGCATGCTTCAATGCTAGCCTAGATAAAAGGAGCAGATGTGTCTTTTGTCTGTTGCCTCCTCCTTTAGGAGACTAACTCAGGCTCCATCTCTGTAGCAGCTTTAACTAAGTTTACCTCTTTATTGCATCAGCAGCATATCCTGTGATATTTTAAGTAGGGTGACCAGATGTCCCGATTTTATAGGGACAGTCCCGATTTTTGGGTCTTTTTCTTATATAGGCTCCTATTACCCCTCACCCCTGTTCCGATTTTTCACATTTGCTGTCTGGTCATCCTGATTTTAGGTTACTTTCCAAACCTTTCTGCTTTTAAGTTTATCTCTCCATGACAAGCCTTGGCACCATTATCAGTACTAGATTTGATGCATGGAGAAAGCTGACTATTTAGAACAGCCGCATTATTTCCTCAATATGCAGATTACCTTTTGATATAGTGATTGGGAGGGTCTTCAGTGCACCTCTTATGTGGTGGCAGAATGTGTCTTAGGGAGGCTTGTCTTTTAAGACATCATTAATTTGTTTTACATTTCATTAATGAAGCAGGGACCAGGCTATAGAGTAACTGTGATGCTTTAAGAAAGCATACATGAATCAAACTAGCTTTAGTGCATGGTGGCAACATGAAGGAAATTTGACAGATTTCCCCCCTATATTTTTATATAAGTTCCCTTTCAACTTTGGCATCTCATTTCAGTGCAGTTGGATGCCATTTACAGCATCAGGACAATTTCACAGGTGCCTAGACAAATGTTAACACCCAGTGAACATACATATATACATACACGCTCACACATACACACTGCTTTGAGGAAATGGCTTGATAATTCTTCATCTTAGATGCCTCTAAATTAGTTGCTTCACTGATGGCCATATTGATACTACAAGAAAGGTCTCTCCTAGGTCCTTTCACACACATGGCCTGCTCAGGACATGGCAAATCTATGGATGTGTCATTGCCACAGTTATTCATTGTCTTGAGGTACTTCTGTTTCTCAGTGCTGACTGAGATAGTGAATATATTCTTCAGTTTTCTCAGGAAATGTTTTTAGCCACCTGATAATTTGACACCCCCAGCTCAGTCAGTGAGACAGATTCTTGTCTCCATTCCCACTGCTTTGCACTCCACATGTGCTACGTAGGATTTGGTTTCTGCCTGTAACTGGCCAGTAGAGAATTTCTCTAGTGGCAGTAAACTTTCCTTTGGCATAAAGTCAGCTGTGCATGCCACAACAACCCCAGAACTGCTACTCTGATTCCCCAGTAGTGAGTGATCGCTTAGGGATCATAAACTGGTGGCATGACTTAAGGCTGACCCTAGGCAGCTTTATCCCAATTCCTCTGATGAGTAGGTTTTTCTCTGAGGGCCTCTGTGCCAGTATTTCTTCTGCAATTGAGCAAAAGGATTTATGGAAGCTCTGGTTTATGTAATATAGCTTTCAGTGCATTCAACAGTTCTATGCATGATGTTGATATTTGGAATGGGAAAATAATTAGTTCTCCAAGTAATCTTATGTGAGGACATTTCCTTAATGCCTTAAATTGTATATACTTTAGAGGTATTGCCACATATGGCTAATTTTTTTAAATCTACAGTTCCTATAAGCTAACCATCTGGAAAGTTGTTGCCTAGTAACAGGCTGTGTAAGAGGCTGATCCCTAAAATGTGCATACCTGTCTAGGCAGCGCAAAGCTCAAGTATTCAAGAACGTAGTATACACGTACCTAATGATGTTTCTAGACATGTTTTGGCTACTTTCCAGAGTGTCTTGTGCCATGATTATTTTTCTGCTCGTACAACTAGTGCTTATTGTCTCAAGGAACTGTAATGCCTGCAGCTCCTCAGAATGAGGTGGTTGTTTGAGGTTTCCATGGTTACAGACAAGGCAAGAGGCTGTGAACATTTTAAAGACTTTACTATGAGATCAATAGGAGCATAAGACATATGCTGTTATGCAAATCGATACATCCTTAAAATAAACAATGTTTAGTTGCATAACTTATTTGGTCACTAGCTGATCAATAGTTTTCTAGTTGATTTTACTAAATAGTCTGTCCTGGAATACACCAATCAAATCTCTAACCTTCTGATTCTGGTTTTACAAATTTAGGTTATTTACTATGTAAAAGAAAGCTGAATCCCTTTTGTAAAACCAAAAAGGGAGATGCATTCATATATCTAAGATGGAATAAATTTGTATTCTGTATGATTCAGATATCTGTTTTAGTCCTCAAAAGAAGCTTTAGGAGAATTCAAACATCTGTCCTTTGAATATTTGTTTCATCTTAATACTATATTGTGTCATAATTTCTGAAGCCATCCCTTTAAGGACACTAAAAGACTTTAGTGAGTCCTTAAAGTGCCAGTTAGTCTCTTTTATGTCACAGAGATTGTCAAATATCTCCACAGAGTTGTATGTCCAAACTCTGCCTGCTGTAGAGTTTTCCAGACTACTCCAGATTTTGTATATGCATCCGTAGAAGTGGGCTGTAGCCCGTGAAAGCTTATGCTCTAATAAATTTGTTAGTCTCTAAGGTGCCACAAGTACTCCTGTTCTTTTCCAGATTTTGTGATATAAGTTCTCAATTAGCCTGTAATACAAGTTTTAGACCATTTATTCAGTTTGAGCCTAAATGGATTGAGGAACTGATTAGGAACACAAATAGAAATAAATGGTCAATTGAAAGAGACTAAAGTGGATTGCCCGAAGGATTTGTAGTGAGACATGTTGTTTTAATACTTTAATGAACTGGAAAAGAGGGCGAACATTGAGATGGTAAAATTTCAAATGACACAATTTAGGCTACTCAAGACTACTAATGTTAGGAACTTCCAAAGATCCTAACAAAGTTAGACAATTGGGCAAGACTGGCAGGTGAAATTAAATGTAGAGAAATGTAAAGTAGCACGCTGGAAGGAACAAGTGGAGTTACTCGTAAATATTGGGTTCTAAATTAGTTGCAATAACTCAGGAAAATGTTTAGGGTATAACTGTGAATAGTTCGATGAAAGCATTTCCTCAGTATTGGTTTAAAAAAAAAAGGCAAACAAATGCTAGTTTGCTTTAGGAATAGGATAGAGAATAACACTGTAATGTTACCATACTATTATTGATAGATGAGATGCTTGAATGCAGTTCTTGCTGATCCATTTCAAAAATAATATAACAGAATTAGAAGAGGTCTAGAGAAGGGCAAGTAAAATGATTACAGACATGGAAATATTGGGACAGTTTAGATAAATTGTGACATAAGGGTATATAAAATAATGAAATCTATAAAGAAGGTCAGTTGGGTGTTCTTATTTACCTTTTATTGTAGAAGAATAACAAGATGATGTCTTATAAAGTTAAAAATCAACACATTTTAAAATGAAAGGCAATATTTTTTGAACAATGTATAATTAAGCTTTGAAGTCACTGCCCCAGGTACTATTGAAACAAAAAGCTCAATAATATTAAAAAAGAGACATTTATGAATATGAAAATCTGCAATTAAACTTGTTAGAATAAAAATGTATAAGGGATTGCAACCATTATGCTTTAAGATATAAAAATATGTTTTTCCTCTACCCCTGTTCCACATGCCCTGATGGCTTTCACGTATTGGTTTATTTTGTTGTTTTCAGTGTGGGGCATGTGTGTTCTAAATGAGTGGATGAAAACGATTTGTCAATGATTGCTAGATTTCAGTGTCACCATTTACATGTGTGAATTTGCAGTAAAAATATATTTCAGTAATTACATCTTATTTTTAGTCTGTTCTAGATCTAGATACCTTTTCAAAAAGCATTGTGAAGTTTGATCTGAGCAGTGCTAATTCCAGGATGTGGCTGTCACTAGTATAGATGATGGTTATATCTCTGTCATCTGTCCGTCATTTTCATGCCCTTTTCCTGCTAGCAGGCATTCTTGCTAGAGTAGATACTGTTCCGGTTCTAAGACTAATTTCAGGAACCTCTCTCCAAGTGCTTTGTTGCAGTAATAGTCTCAATCAGTTGACATAGGAATCCATCTGACTAGATGCCGGCTTCCTGGGGTTGTCTGTCTTAAACCAGTGAGTCTTTTGGGAGGGAGGAACATTTCAGCTAACTTCCATCTTGTCTCCATTCTTATTAAGAGCTCTAGACTATTTGGATGTTCTGTACTCAAGGAGCAGTTTCAAAAGAAATCTCTCCCAGTGCCAACCTCCCAGTTGAATCTCAAGCTTGGTGCATGTCTCATTAAAGGTAGTGTCTTGAGTAAGGTCAGGTCACTGATGTGCCAACCCATTGTTTATAAAGGTGTCAGCATATCAGTGAAGAACAAATTACTCTTGCCTGTTAGTTTCTTTCGTATGGTGACTCCAGTATAGACACCATCTAAATTACCCTATTTGATTAACAGACTCTGGCAGAATGGCTAGAAGTAAGTATAAGGTTTTTTTCCTCTGGCTTTGGAAGTTCTCAACTAGTTACAGATTTCCTGACTGCCTAGAAATTGCAGACATAGAAATCTGGATTAGTTACCACCTGATGTAGGGGACTTGCCATGTCACAGAAAACAATTAGCAGGTAAGAAATTAGCTTTACTTTGTTTTTTTAAAGGTCTGTTTAAAACCACAATTTCCCCCTCATTTTTAACCAACAGGTTCGCCATAAAACGTCACAGAAGGTTTATGCAATGAAGCTTCTTAGTAAATTTGAAATGATAAAAAGATCGGATTCAGCCTTTTTCTGGGAAGAAAGAGATATCATGGCCTTTGCCAACAGTCCCTGGGTGGTTCAAGTAAGGAGTGTTTTTCTGTTGTTTTTAAATTTAAGTTAAATCTATTTAATTTTGGGGTCAGTTTTGAATATGCATATACATTCAAATAATGGGTCAGATTCTGATCCAATTTAGAAGTCACATCAGTGTAACTGAGTTGAGAATCGGGATCACTGGATTTTTTTTTAAGTTTATATTTGTTGATATTGATAGGCTAACTTTTAGCTTGATCACTTCAGCTGCAGTATAAAATTAAATGGAATTTTCAAACCGCCTCAAATGTGTACTCTACTTGAAATTGTAATATTTTTTGTATAAAGGGAAAATTGTGAGTCGGATTGCAGTTGCAAAAAATATGTGAGCGAACTGAATTTTTTTCTACTAATCTATTCTGCCAGATTAATTTTATTAGTGTTTGTAATGTGGCTCAATCATGAGGTCACAAACATTGCATTGTGTCATTACGGAATATATTAGGGAGAAGGAAAGTGGATTTAAGTACAAAGTATCTATTTATGCACCCATGTACCTCAATAATCTGTAACAATGAAAACCTAAATGCAGGAAAAAATTCTTGGTACTTTTAATTTAAGAATTAAATAGTTCTAACTTGAAACATTTTCAAGTGTGTAGATGTGATTCTCTGTATGTAAAAGGTAAATACAGCCATCTCATTTTAATACTGGCCACTGACCAATTACATAGTAATGGCATGGCCTTACTTGGGCTGTTTTCAAATGGATGGGATCTTGAGGTGAAAGTCCTAGAGTGCATTCAGTGAAACCCTCTAAAATAATTCGTAAAGAAATAAACTTACTTTCAATACACCAGTAACCTAAAATATTAACTGTACTAATAATTAAATATAGCTTGGTATATATTACAGTTAATCACTTCATGCATCTCCACTTCACAGCACATTAACCTGCATTTATCATTTCTACTTTTGCTTAGCGATGTTAGAGGAGTAATATGTTCCAAATAATAATTATGTAAATATTTAGGAGCTATAACATAATACAGAAATGAAATTTCAAAGCAATTTTAGAGACACCAGCCTCTGTTTAGCTATTTCCAGTACTCTGAATTGTACTTGTATCTCCGAGGGAGCTGACATTTCAATGATGCCTCATTAGACTGGGTTTCATGCTGAGAAACAGAATGAGATGCACTCAATAAATGGAATAAATAAGAAATTAGTAGTTTTTTTTAAGATTGTGAGATAAGGCAGTTTTAAAGTTTAGCAGATGTTAGATTCCTGTTAAATTAAGCAAAGTCTTTATTAGAAACTTTAAAAAAAATTGAACTTGCCTTACAACAATCTTGAAAATCTCTGATTATCTAAGAACAGTTTAATGAAACCATAATAGAAAGATGGTTGCTTTTCAAATATCCCTCAAGTAATTTTCCTTCTTTTCTTTAGCTCTTTTGTGCCTTTCAAGATGACCGATACTTGTATATGGTAATGGAATACATGCCGGGTGGAGATCTTGTAAACCTTATGAGCAATTATGATGTGCCTGAAAAATGGGCCAAATTTTACACAGCTGAAGTTGTCCTTGCTTTGGATGCAATTCACTCCATGGGCTTGATACACAGAGATGTGAAGCCTGACAATATGCTTTTGGATAAACATGGGCATCTGAAGTTGGCAGATTTTGGTACCTGTATGAAAATGGATGAAGTAAGTATGCAAATTAAATATTTTATCTACCACAAAGATAGAGAATGTTCAGGTTTTATTTTATTGTAAATTACTCAGGGATATAAGGAATAAAGGAATGTTCAGCTAATTGAGCTTCTTGATTGGCAGAATATTCCTTGTTATCTAATTTTAAGTAGAGGGAGGGACCTTCTGTGTTTTGTAACATTGGCCCATAATAAACTATTCTGGGATGGCGACAAAAGAAAGAGACCTACTTTTTGTTGTTTCTGGGAGCATGTATGTTTATGAATTTCTGTGTGTTCATTCTTTAGCCAAATGTTTGAACAGCTCATGAGACAACTCCTAATTTCAACATTAGTAATCTTGGAGCAGTTTATAAACTGACACTTTGGTATAAATGAAATTGTTACTGAAGAGGCAACAATTTACATAGTCCCATATAGTCATTACATATATAATTGCTCCGACAGCACCCCCTAGTGGTTTTCAACTTAAAAATTTAGATTAAAGTGACTAATGAAGTGTGATGCACTGATTGGGACTGCTTATTGCTAGTATTCAAAATACTCTATTTTTTCATTGCCCACATGTTAAAATGTACTGCCTAATGGACCACATTCTTTAATGTGATAGTTTCAAGATAAACTCATATGGTTATAAAAAAGCCTTATTTGGACTACTAATAACATTTTAAAGCAGACTTTTAAAATCTTCTGTATTTTTCAGTTTACACTTTGTTCTTGTTAAGTGAAGAGTAAAAAGTAAACAGTGAAATTACTCTGTAATTACACATATTTCCCCCCCCCCCCCATTGTGTTTCACTCTACAAAGGTACCGTAAGTTGTCATGAACTTTGTGTTATGTTCATTACCCTTCATTTTAAAATGTTTCTCTAATATTTTAATATTGGTGTTCCTTTGTTTTATCAGCTTTGACTTAACAGGAGTTTATTTTGGCCTGAAGGATACTACTTTACTGCTTTCTTCTGCTATGTTGTGCTAGAATTTGCATCTATTACTTATACAAAATAGGTTCTTCTTCCTTTGCAACCTATTTAACTTCTTTTCTCCAGTATTTTTTTTTTTGTAATATATTTTAGAGTAATACCCTTTTATAGTAACTGCAAATGTACTCTGAAATACAGGTGTCTTTTTTCCTCATATGGTATTTTATAAGCTTATTGAGAAATGTAAAAGTCTTCATTTCTAGTATCATTTAGTTACTTCATTTTGTTAATGCCACAGTGATTCTATTCCATGGGTAGATGGGTTGTTTATCTTAATTTGATTATTTGGGAGACAAGATGGCGGAGGTAATATCTTTTAATGGACCAACTTCAGCAGTTGGTCCACTAAAAGATATTACCTCACCCACCTTGTCTCTCTAATATCCTGGGACCGCCATGGCTTACATACACTTACTTTGATTATGTAAGGCTGCTGACTGGCAGAGTTAATTAATTTTTATATTAGTTATATATGTTGCCAGGTTGTTACTGTAAGTCTAATTATTTTCAGGGTGCTTTTGAATAAGTGTTCTTTTAAATGTTAAATCCAAATAAATAAATAAATATAATGGAACCGTGTAGCAGTAAATGTCCGATTGGACAACCCTATCTGTACTGATATTATTAGGCTACATATTAGGTGGCTTATGCCTTCGGGCTTTGCATCTTTCATTGTACAAATTCTATAAGGCTTTCCAGGTTCCCATTCTCTGAACAGATTCTCTGATCCTTTCCCTGTATAGATATTCAGAACCCTGACTGACACTTTGCTTGCAGTAAGCCAAATTTGTTTAGTCGTCTGAGACTAAACTTAATGTGATAATGGGCCTCGTTTTACTTTTAATTGAAATAAGGTAAAAATAGTATTTGATCTGCTTAGTATGAACCCTTAACTTGTTTTTCTTCAAGTGCTTGCTCATACCCATACCATATTAGGTGCGTGCGCACAGCATGGACTATTGCTGGAGATTTTTCCCTCAGTGATATCCGTCAGGTTGACTCTAGCACCCTCTGTGTGGTGGTATACGGGCGCCACTGGCCTCACACCCACTCAGTTCCTTCTTACCGCCCCTGATGGTTACTGGAATAACTCCTCTTGCTTCAGCCACTGGTCTCCGGACCTTCGGTACCAGATGGCGGAAGTGAGGAGTACCACTCCCCTTGGTCACCTCGGGTGGACTCGTCGTCTGAGTCTTAGGTGGAGCCCTACACCCAGCGCAAGTGCCACCACTGGTACCTGCCCTATGTGCTTCTGGACCTCAGTACAGGTCTCCCCACCAATACCTGGCCAGGTGGACAATGGCCTATGCAATGGCCATTCAGAAATCCATGGGGGTTTCCCTCCGTACCATGTCCATCTTCTCACCTGCGATACTCGGTTGCTTCTGAGGGGCGGGATCCCGCTTCACTCCGCTCGGCACTGGACACCAACTCCCAGTACTGATGCACAAGACGTGGGCCACATGGAGGTAATTAAAACTGAAGATGAGAAAACAGCCCTGACCTTCCAGTAGAGGCCTCTTCTTCCTCCTCCTCGTCCCCAGATGAGGACGTCTCGGGACCGAGTGGCTCACTGCCGCAAGGTGACTTTAGAGCCCATCAGGAGTTTCTGAAGTGGGTAGCAGCTAACCTGGGGCTAGAGATTGAGGAGCTCTAGGAATTCTCTCTCAGCCTCATTGACTTTCTAGATGCAGCAGCACCATTTAAGGCGGCCCTACCCATTAACAAGGTGGTAATGGGTCTGGTCAGAGCCCTGTGGCAGACCCCATCTTTTCTCCCTCCCACTTTGGAGAGGTATGGCTTCAACAGCCAGCCCACTTCTCGGCTCCACCACTGAGACAGGACCTGTACAAAAGAAAAAGCAGAGGTTACAAGCGCCATCAGTTGCTCCCATCCACCTCAACCTCACTGCCAGGATTGCATAGCTACTCTGGTGGACCCAAGCAGGCTTTTAAAAGGTGTGCCCAAGGGCGCTATACCAGTTTCCGCCTCGGATCCTTGCTCCTCCTGTGTTTTTGGACTGATTCCCACTTCAGTTCGGCGTGGTCCCACATCACATCAGACCACTGGGTGCTAAGTACAGTGGTGTATGGTTATACCTTGCAGTTTTCATCCACTCCTCTCTCCCACCCCTCATCCCTGTCCCTCTTCAGTGACCCTTCTCACAAGCAACTCCTACTCCAGGAGCTGCAGATCCTCTTACCGGTGGGGGCTGTGGAAAGAGTTACCTCAAAAATTGAAATATTACTCACGATATTTCCTAATCCCAAAGGCCCAGGGGGGCTTTTTCCCCATCCTGGACCTGCATCGCCTCAACAATTATCTCAAGAAACTAAGGTTCTGCATGGTCTCCCTGGCCTCAATCATTCCCTCCCTGGATCCAGGGGCCCTCAACTTGAAGGACGCTTATTTTCACATTTCTATCTTCCATGGCCACAGAAGATTTGTCAGATTTAGTATAAACCAGACTCCTTACCAATTCACCATTTTCCCTTTTGGCCAGTCCTCAGCCTCCTGGGTTTTTACGAAAGGCACGGCGTTGGTAGCTGCCTTTCTCAGAAGGCGAGGCGTTCAAGTCTACCCATATCTCAATAACTGGCTGATCAAGGGTCATTCAGAGGCTGAAGTAAAGAAAAGCATCAGCCTGGTCCAAGCCAACTTCCAAGCACTGGGCCTGTTGTCAACAGAAGTCGACTCATTCCAGTACAGAGAATTGAGTTTATCGTGGCAGTGCTAGACTCAACTCAGGCCAGAGCCTTCCTTACAAGGGTGTGATTCCAGACTTTGTCGGACCTGATATCCAAGGTCATGGCTTAACTGATCACAATAGCTTGGGTTTTCCTCAAGCTACTGGGATACATGGCCGCGTACACTTACAGGCTATGGCACGCAAGGCTGTGCCTCAGGTTTCTGCAGACGTGGTTAGCTTCAATGTACTCTCTGAACAGTCACTACTTGGACTCTGTGTTTGCTGTCGAGCCCCAGTCCTTGCCTCCCTTGACTGGTGGAAGGACCCCCAGATGGTAATGGCGGATGTTCCCTTTGTCACCCTCCAGCCATCAGTGTCCCTAGTTTCGGACGCTTCAGACCTAGGTTGGGGAGCCCACCTTGATTAACTCAGGGCCTGTGGTCCCAGTAAGAACTCTCCTTGCACATAAATGTCTGGAAGCTCAGAGTCGTCTGCTTGGCTTGCCAAGTGTTCCTTCCCCAGATCGCAGGCAAGGTAGTGCAGGTACTGACGGCACCATAGCCATGTTCTCCATCAGTAAACAGGAAGGAGCATGCTCCTTCGCCTTGTGTCAGGAGGCCATCTGTCTATGGGACTTCTGCATGAAGGACTCCATCCACCTCAAGGCTTCTCATCTTCTGGAAGCCCAGAATGCCCTGGCAGACTACCTCAGCAGATATTTCTCCTCTCACCATGAGTGGTCCCTTCACCCAGAGGTCATCAGGTTCATCTTTCAAAGGTGGGAAATCTCTCTAGGTTGACCAGTTTGCAGCCAAGCAAAACTGGAAATTCCATCAGTTTTGCTCACTGCATTGGGCACAGTCTGGGCTCCCATGCCTTCCTCCTTCCATGGACAGAGCTCTTATTCTACGCATTTCTACCAGTTCCTCTGATTCACAAGGTGCTTCTGAAAATCAAGCGAGACATGGTGAGAGTTATTCTTATAGCCCTGGCATGGCCGCACGAACACTGATTTGGCACACTGCTAGACTTATCAGATAATGTTTTCACCCCTCAGCTCCTAGATTAGTACCCCCGCTACTGCTCCCACTCTGTCTGGACCTGATCTCACAAGATCAGCCATGTACTCCACCTGAACCTCGGGTCCCTTCACCTGACTGCATGGAAGTTATATGGCTGAACCCGATGGAACAAGCCTGTTCGGAACAAGTTCGACAGGTCCTTCTGTGTAGTAGGAAGTCGTCCACTAGGGATACCTACCTCACGAAATGGAAGCATTTCTCAATATGGTTGTCCCAAATGGGGCCTCTCTCCGACTCGGTCTTCCCTTCAGTGTGTTCTGGATTACTTTCTCCATCTAAAACAACAAGGTCTAGCCTTCACATCTGTCAAGGTGCATCAGGCAGCAATTTCGACTTTCTACCCGCTAGTGGGCAGTAAGTCATTTTTTTCTCACGAGATGACCATTCTTTTTCTTAAGGAATTGGAGAGACTTTACTCTCAGGATTGCAAATTTACTCCCCCCCCCCCCCCATGGGATTTAAACCTGATCCTATCAAAACTCACGGGCCCTCCCTTTTAGCCTCTAGCATTGTGCTTTCTGTTGCTTCTCTCCTGGAAGGTCACCTTCCTGGTAGTGTTTACCTCAGCCAGATGGGTCTCTTGAAATCAGGGCCCTGACATTAAAACCACCGTACACCTTGTTCTTCAAGAACAAGGTCCAGGTGCACTCCCATTCAGCCTTCCTGCCAAAGTTTTGCTGTTCCATAGCAACCAGGCCATTTTACTGCCAGTCTTCTTCGCGAAGCCTCACAAGAATTCAGAAGATCAGTGGCTTCACTCATTGGATGTTAGGCATTTCCTCGCCTTCTACCTTGAGAGGACTAAACTGTTCCACAGATTCACACAATTCTTTTGTGGCAATTACAGAGAGGATGAAAGGCCTACCAGTTTCAGCCCAGAAAATATCATCCTGGATAACCTCCTGTATTTGCGATTGCTGAAAGCAATCCAATCCATCTGCAGGGCTGCAACCTGGTCATCAATGCATACCTTCTCATCCCACAACGCCATCACCCAACAGTCTCGTGAGGACGTGAGGTTCAGGAGAGCAGCGTTGCAGTCCTCTTCTGCATGAACTCCGAGCCCACTGCCTTGGGTACTGCTCATGAGCCACCAAACGTGGAACGGACGTGAACAGGCACTCAAAGAAGAGAAAATGGTTACTGACCTTCCGTAACTATTGTTCTTTGAGATGTATTGCTCATATTCATTGCATCATCCATCCTCCTACCCGTCTGTCAGAGTTAACTGGCAAGAAGAAACTGAGAAGGTGTGGAGTTGGCGGCGCCCCTTATACTGGCTCATAAGTGTGGGGCACCAGAAGGCGCTGGAGCTGACCCGAGGGATACCACTGAGGGAAAAATCTCCAGCAATGGTGCACGCAGCGTGCACACACCTCATGTGGAATGGACGTAAGCATCACATCTTGAAGAGCAACAGTTACGGAAGGTCAGTAACCATTTTTTATGCTACGTTTATTTTTTAAAGAGCTCCTGGTTTTGTCTGCAGCCTTTGCTTTTGGGTACTGTTGTGGGGCTTGGGATAGAAGACAGGTAGAAAAATGTCTTCACTACTATGGAATTGTGACACTACCTTAGGGAGAAAGGCCGTGTGAGGTCTGAGTTGCACCTTGTCCTTGTGGAAGAACGTGTAGGATGGATCGGAGGTAAGGGCCTTTAACTCTGATACTCTCCTGGCTGATGTGATGGTGACCAGGAAGGCTACCTTCCATGACAAGTAGAGAAGGGAGCAAGTCACCAGCGGTTCAAATTGGGGATCCCATTAATCTGGAGAGGATCAAGTTAATGTCCCATGCTGGAAGAGACTGTCTAACCCGAGGATATATCCGTTCCAGTCCCTTAAGGAAACATTCTACTATAGCGTTAGCGAATATGGAGCATCCAGACGTGCCTGGATGGAAGGCCGAAATAGCAGCAAGGTGTATCTTGCTGGATGACGCTGCCAGGCTTTGTTGGTTGAAGTGCAAAAGGTACTCCAGGATGAGTGGTATAGACGTCTGGAGTGGAGGCTCATTCCGCAAGGGCACAGGCGTCCTCAGCCGCGTTCCTGGCCCAGGTGCCGATACAGGAAATCTGTAGGGCAGCTACTTGGTCCTCAGTACATACGTTCATCTCTCACTATGCCATCACACAGCACACTAGAGATGATGCAGCTTTCGGCAGAGCGGTGCTCCAATCAGCATTATCCAATTCCTTAACGCCGACTCCACCTCCGGGGTAGAGCTTGGAAGTCACCTGACTGGATTCGACATGAACAAGCACTCGAAGAATAAAATAACTCGAGGGGGGCGGGGAGCTTGGCAGGCCTCAGCAAATCTGGTGTCACTGGAATAAACCTAGTTGAAGCTTGAATTTAGGGAAGTTGAACTCGTATCACTTTGAACCAGTGTGCTAGCAGACCTGACATTGACTCTACTTTTATTGATTGTTCAGCTAGGAGCAAGGAGTATGGATAGTCAGGGCCTTTATGTTGCCAAATTAATGAGGTACTAGCAAGTGTTTTTAGGGATAAAACCTGTGCTTGGCTTTAAAAATTGTATTTTCTTGTAGAGCTTAACCGTCCCATTCTTCCAAAATAGCTTTTCCTTTAATTTATATTGGTCTCAAACATTAAAATAAAAACAAAACAAGACCAAAAAACTCAGCCCCCAACTGGACTTAGTGCCTAACCAAAAAAAAGTTGTGTCTGTATTGGTCTGCTCTTCTAGGGCCTAATCCAAAGCACATTGAAGTCATTTGAGTCATCGACTTCAGTGGGCCTGATCCCATAGTATGCATGCTCAGCTTTGTTAATACTGGTGGAACCTAGGCTAAGTCACATTTCCTTTTTAATTTTTTTTCAATCTTGAAAGATATGCTTTAAAAAAGAAATAATAGGAGTTACCAGGAATAGTCATTTTGTCAGAAAGCACTTCTGGAATAGGAACTTTTGAAGGCCTTAAATGTTTCCCAAACTACTTACTTTGGGACATGTTTTTCTCAAAATAACATAAATGGGTTAATTTTAATTTTGGTGAAGCACTCTGTTTATTGTATTGTTTCAATTAAATGGATTATTACTTGCAATTTTTTGCAATTACGTAGACTGGTATGGTGCGCTGTGATACAGCTGTTGGAACACCTGACTACATATCGCCTGAAGTCTTGAAGTCACAAGGAGGTGATGGCTGCTATGGACGGGAGTGCGATTGGTGGTCTGTAGGAGTTTTTCTCTTTGAGATGCTTGTTGGTGAGTAATAATTTAATTCATTAATTCACACACACACACACACTCTCTCTCTCTCTCTCTCTCTCTCTCTCTCTCTCTCTCTCTTCTGGAAACTTCTATTCAAGAGCTTTTATGATTCAATTATCCTTATATAGCAACAAGTAAGACATATGGTTGCATCAAGACAGTTCAGCCTGTGATTGTTTCTGCTTTTGGCTAATTCTTGTACTCTCCAATCAGGATTTTCTATTGTAAAGCACTGGACCATTAGGGCATGTAATGTATTTGAATATTAGAGCCATTATAGAGGATACTAGCCATACAAGGTTGTAAACCAACTTTGTAGTCTAATATCGGAGCACTGGTGAGGAGTCTGGAACTGAGCATGATTACTCACTATCCATACCAGCATGTTCTGGGAACACTGCAGGAACAGATATGTTTTTAAGGTTCTGGGGGCAGGAAAGCTCCTCCCAAGTCTGCAGTCATTGAAGCGTTAGTTCCTCTGAGGATGAAGAGAAATTGACTTATGAAGGCTAATTAGTAATTTGCATCCCGGGAACAATTTAATCAATGTACTTTAATAGTTAAGGTGTTAAGTCTGTCCTGTAGTGCCATGACAGAACGTCATTTTCATTTCTATTTTGTGGTTGGGACCTCTTTTTTCTCCTCCAGTACATTATCAAATGAAATGTGGGGAACACCAGTATTTTGAGAGCCTGAGTTTTTATCGTTGAGGGGCTCACTAGCTCAGTTTTTTCTATAATCTGGGGTTTCATTTGGGAGAATTAATGATACTTCATGGTTTGTATATATTTTCCTCTCCTATGGCCCATCTTGTTTGTGATGCTTCTAATTACCACGTTTCTCCATCTCTGTTAATTTCCCCCCCCCCCTTTTATTCCTCAACCTCATTTCCTTCTCTTCTGCATGCTTTTCTCTTCTTTACTTCTTTCCTGTTTGTCTCAGTGTGTCTCTTGGAACCATAGAAATATAGGGTTGAAAGGGACCTCGAAATTCTCCCTGCCCAGAGGCAGGCCCAAGTTTACCTAGACCATCCATGACAGGCATTTGTCTAACCTGTTATTAAAATCCTCTAATGACTGAGTTTCAACAACATCTCTTGGTAACCTATTTTAGTACTTAACCACCCTGATAGTGAGAGAGTTTTTCCTAATATGTAACCTAAATCTCCCTTGCTGCAGATTAATCTGATTACTTCTTGTCCTACCTTCAGTGGACATGGAGAACAGTTGATCACCATCCTTTATATAACAGCCCATAACGTATTTGAAGACTGTTATCAGATTCCTCAGTCTTATTTTCTGAAGAAGAAAACATGCCCGTTTTTTTACCCTTTCCTCATAAGTCAGGTTTTATAAACCTTTTATCATTTTTGCTGCTCTCCTCTGGACACTCTCGAATTTGTCCAAATCCTTCTTTGTGTGGCACCCAAAACTGGACACAGTAGTCCGTCTGAGGCATCATCTGTGCTGAGTAGAGCAGGACAGTTACCTCCCATGTCTTCCGTATGATACTCCTGTTAATGCATCCCAGAATGACATTAGCCTTCTTTTTACAGCTGCATCACATTGTTGACTTGTATTCAATTTGTGATCCACTATAACCCTGAGATCTTTTTCTGCAGTACAACTGCCTAGCCAATTATTTCCCATTTTGTATTTGTGCATTTGATTATTCCTTTCTAAGTGTAGTACTTTGAATTGTCTTTATTGAATTTCATCTTGTTGGTTTCAGACCAATTATCCAATTTATCCAGATTATTTAGAGGATAGGATTAGAATTCAAAAGTGCTTGCAACCCCTCCTAGCATGGTGTCTTCTGCAGATTTTATAAGCATCCTCTTCACTCCTTTCTCCAATTCATTAATGAAACTATTGAATAGTACTAGACCAGGAAACACCCCGAGGACCCCACTAGATAAGTCCTCCCAGTGTGACAGGAAACCACTGATATCTTGGTCTTTCAACCAGTTGTGCACCCACCTTTCAACAATTTGATCTAGACCACATTTCCCTAGTTTGCTTAAAAGACTGTAATTTGGGATGGTGTCAAAAGCTTTACTAAAATCCCCTCCGTCCAGTAGCCCTATCAAAGAAGGAAACTAGGTTGGGTTGGTATGATTTGTTCTTGACAAATCCATGTTGGCTAATACTTATCACTTTATTATCCTCTAGGTGCTTATAAATTGTTTAATAATTTGCTCCAGTATCTTTCCAGGTATCATAGTTAGTCTGACTGGTCTATTATTACCTGGGTCCTCTTTGTTCTCCTTTTTGAAGATAGGTACTATGTTTGCCCTTCTCCAGTCCTCTGGGACCTCACCCTTCTGTCCGAGACCAATACAGGTTTGAATGAGGATTCGAGTGGAAGAGGAAAATTGAGAAAGAGGCAGATTGTAATTCAAAACAGGTGGCCGTTTATTAATGGGGGATAAATCACAACTTGGGCTGGGGAGGAGCACCTTTACCAACTAACAGTACAAATTCAATTGAAATAGGAACAAGTAACCAACCAAAAATATCACCAGAGCAGTAATATAAAACAGTCTATGTACACTTAACAGCAAAGAGTCAGATAATTTACAACCAACTATTCACTGACAAACCAGAACAAACATACAAAACTGAGTAAACTGTAACAATTCGTCCTCTATACACTACACATGAGATTTGGTATCAAGTAATAAAGAAAAAAGGCCTAACAAACAGAATATCTACAAATATTAATATGTACATACCACACTCCAGGCGCAGCTGACCAGCAGTACAGACACCAGGGACATGATGATATGTAACCCGAGATGACACGACACGAGCCGGCTAAATCCGGAGGAGATCCTGGCTGAAAGGGTTATCAGGCCTTCCAGCTAACACGCAGACACTCCTGCTGATTTAGGCCAGTGACATAGTTTTGTTCGAAGACCCTTGCACGTGCTAGCATCTAATTGGGTCTCCGCTCCTACACCAACCAGGCTCCGAGCTGGTGCCCTCTACGCACACAGACACTGCACCCGGCACGCTAAGCTTATGCACACGGCACGCTGGAATTGTAGCACACGGTACCAATGTGACCCACAATTGACCAGGCGGAAGGTTCGAGAATGGTCACACGGCCCCAATGTGTTGCACACGACACCAAGGTGCTGCACACGACACCGATGTGACCTTCTGACCGACAATTGGCCATCCAGACACCATGACAGAGCATAGGGCTGCCACACCTTCCTCTATGGTTATGTCTCCACTGCAATTGAAAACCTGCAGCTGGCCCGTGCCAGCTGACTGTGGCTTGCGGGGCTGTTTAATTTCGGTGTAGACATCTGGGTTTGGGCTGGAACCCAGAGTCTAGGGCCTTGCGAGGTTGGAGGGTCCCAGAGCTCAGGCTGTAGCTCAAGCCAGAACGTCTACACCACAATTAAACAGCCCCACAGTCCAAGTCCCGGGAGCCCGAGTCAACTGACTAGGGCCAGCTGCAAGTGTCTAATTGCAGAGTAGACCTACCCTATGAGCGCTCTAAGACAATCACTAATGGTTCCGGGATTGCTTCAACTATTACTTTAAGACTTAAGCATCTTAGTGTGAATTTTATTAAAGACTGCCCACCTGAATATATCTGACTTTTCTAAATATTCTTTAACTTTTTATTTCCCTATGGTTTGTGCCCCTCCCCCCTTGTTAATATTAATTGTATTAAGCATCTGGATACAATTCTCTTTCTTAGAGAAGACTGAAACAAAATAGGCATTAAACGTCTCAGCCTTCTTGGTGGTGTCCATTATCTCTTCTTCCCTGCTATGTAGTAGACCTTCACTTTCTTTCATCTTTCTCTTTTATTGCCCTATATGTCCCTTGTTAGGTGTAACTCATTTTGTGCCTTAACCTGTATTTTGTCCCTACATGCTTGTGCTATTCTTTTGTACTCCTCCTTGGCAATGTGTCCATGTTTCTATTTCTTGTAGGATTCCTTTTTGGTTTTCAAGTAATTGAAGAGCTCCTGATGCAGCTGTATTGGCTTCGTAATATCTTTCCTTCATATCAGGATAGTTTGCAGTTGTTCCTTTAATATTGTCTCCTTGAAAAACTGCCAGCTCTTCTGAACTCCTTTTCCCCCTTAGATTTTTCCTATTCTCCCATCTCCTCTCCTGGGAATGAGATAACTGTTTCTGTTTAGGTTTTAACCTAGTTATAGTTCCTCCATCCTTACTGCTGATATTTCCTTTTCTCTGTTCATTCTTCATGACCTTAATTAAGGCTTTGACAATGTGGATCATTTTGTCTCCCAGCATTACCTTCATATGGTAGTTACATGAGCCTCCCTTTTCCCCTCCTGTCCTGGATCCACTGTTATTTGTACAACCAGTCTTTTTTGGGTGCTGATGACTGCTCCATCTCTCCTGCTCCTTTGTATCTCACAATAGTTTGGTTATCAGTTTGCTTTTTCCATCTACCTTCTCCTCAGACATCTTATTTCAGCCTTTAACTACTTTACAGTCATGATACTCAACTATGTCTACCTTTTGATACCTTTCAATGACTCCTGCTTGTGCACGCTCTCTCCTTATACTGAGCTGTGGCTCAACTTCATTCAACTAAATGTTTACACATATAAGTGTTTTCTCTTAAATAAGAGCATCATCAATCTGCCTCTTTGACTTGAACCCGACAATACATATAATTGACGTCTTGCTTATCTCTGATTTACTCCTCCTGTATGTATGTTATTTGTGAATATTTTTCTCAACATTTCAGCAACAGTTGCCCATGTACAATACTGCCTAAAGTCCAACTTCACTGAAGTCCGCATCCATGCTTTCCTCTCTTCTTACTTGGACTATTGCAGATTGCTTCTTTTCATTACCAAGTCCCATCAAGGATATGTAGACAAGCTGCTTGTCTTCTCACACACACGAAGTTCAGCTATATCATCCCCATCTTAAAACCACTCCAATGCTACCTCATTAATTTTAGGATCCAGTTCAAAATTACCTTTTCCGTTTTAAATACCTCAGTAGACCTAAGTTCTCTGTAAGCTGTGCGGCCGCACAGCAGCCTGTTTAGTGCCGCGCAGGCACTCCGGGAACCTGCCCAGCTGGGACCTGCCAGAGCCAGAGGAGGGGTGTCCCTCCCCCAGTCCCAACCCAGCCCCGGACCTGCTGCGGCCAGGGAAGAGGTGCCCCTCCCCCAACCTAGCCCGGCTCCCAACCTGCTGCGCACCCACCCCTGCAGATGCTGTGGGGAGAGAGAACTGGGGGGAGTTCTCTCTCCCCGCCATAGCCTGGAGCACTCTCTTGCACCCCAAACTCCTCATCCCCGGCCCCACCCCAGAGCCCACACCCCAACCCTCTGCCCCAGCCCTGAGCCCCCTCCCACACGCCAAACCCCTCGGCCCCACTCCCACCACATGAATTTTGTTATGTGCACCAATATGAAGGTGACGTGTCACACATCACCTCCATATTGGTGCACATAACAAAATTCATTCTGCACATGGGTGAGAAAAATTAGAGGGAACACTGCGGCAGACTTGCTTCAGTTTGTCAAACAATCCTGCTTTCTGTTGCCTTCCATTCCTTCTGCTAATATAACTCTGGACACTTTGTTTTTTTTTAACACAATCCTTTGCAGCTCTTGCAATCAGGAACAGCTGTTGAATCTCCTGGCCTTGTTGATTTCCTTATTTCAAATTTCAGCTGAAAATACCTGTTCTCTCTTGGCTTCACTTCTTAATAGTTCATCAATTTTAATATATATTAAAAATAAGGCTGTAGAGCATTTTGGGATACAGTTTATATGAAAGGTGCTACACCAGGGGTAGGCAACCGATGGCACACGTGCCGAAGGCGGCATGCGAATTGATTTTCAGTGGCACTCACATTGCCCGGGTCCTGGTCCAGGGGGCTCTGCATTTTAATTTAATTTTAAATGAAGCTTCTTAAACATTTTAAAAATCTTATTTACTTTACATACAACAATAGTTTGTTTATATATTATAGACTTATAGAAAGAGACCTTCTAAAAATGTTAAAATGTATTACTGGCACGCGAAACCTCGGCACACCACTTCTGAAAGGTTGCCGACCCCTGTGCTACACCAAATTAAATTGTACTACATTTTATTGTACGTTAGATGCAAAACTGAAGTACTAGTTGGAAAGCAGAGAACTGGGCTGCCAAGAGAGGGATTGCCTTAGTTGAGGGGATACTAGGGTGGTGATGAATGGCCTTGATAGGAGCCTTTTATGATGGTGCTGAAGAGAAAAGTGGAGAGCGACCCTTTTAGGGTGAAGAAGGAGGGAGCATTGGTAGACCATGGAATTTGTGCATCTGATAGATGATTCCTGTAGGAACCAAACTAGGACTAGTTGGGAGGTCACAGAAGAGTCTGAGAGTTTAATTGACACTAATGTACATGCTAACTTGTTCTCTTTCTTGAAGCCTACTTGTGTTGGTTCTTCTCTTTTATATCCTCCTCAAGAGCAAAATGGCTTCTGTGTATTAATTTGTAGAGACTAATAAACTTTCCACATGGTGAAAATGTTCTAATTGCTGATAACCAGAATGCTTTTTTTTTCCTGCTGAATGTTTTTCTCCTGATGGACGAAATAGGTAACTTGGTCACTAAACATATTCTTCGGGTTTCTTTTTCATTAAAGATGTTTCAACTCTGAAAGAGAATTATGTAAAAATGGCCGCTTGTTGGTCAATGGATCTGTTCTTTTTGCATATTCCGAGTGTTAGCTGATCACTTTGGTGACAAATACATTTTGATTGCTGTTTGTTCTTCTTAGAAGTGCAGAACTGATCCCACTAAGAGTTAATTGTGAATTCGATTCCATAACATGTATCAACCGAAGTGGTTAATGGTTCCAATCAATCACTTCTATCCAAGCCCCTTGAAATTAGTGGATTTACAAAGGTGTCACTGAGGGCATAATTGAAAGACACTGTATGAGTATGATAGATCTGTTTTCATGTGTGGAAACTTCAGTAATGATGGTGGAAATATCCTAGCTTCATTCCCCTGGGCATAGGCTTAGTTTGTAGTGCGGGTATTTACAATGAAAACTTTTTTCACCCTAAACAGAGTACATGTGGTTTAAAAAAAAAAAGATACAGTGAACATGGATCAACCAATCCCATTTTTATAGAGCCATTTTTCAGAATAAGCCTGAACTTTATAATTTATAGGTCTGCTTTCCTCTTTCTCTGTTTATCTTAAAATACTTAAATTTTAAATTTAAAATCTTAACATTTATGCATGTTTTATTTTAGGGGACACTCCATTTTATGCAGACTCCTTGGTAGGGACATATAGTAAAATCATGGATCACAAGAATTCATTAAGTTTCCCAGATGATGTGGAAATCTCTAAGCATGCAAAGAACCTCATCTGTGACTTTTTAACTGACAGGTAGGTGTGCCTACTACATTTGTACAATCTCTCTTATAGTGGGTGCAAACACACTTACGGTATCCTAGAACAATGGATTCCTTCTCCTTAATTGTGCTATCTAAATCATTCTCATTTTGTGAGAAATTAACATTATCTCCTGCTTTCTAGTGGCTGGCTGCTTTGCAAGCTCTGTGTTATGTTTAACTAAAACTAGTGTTTTTATGAGTACTTCTGGCAATAACTACATTGTCTACACTCTTCCTAAGAATTCAAAATTGCCGCAAAGAAAATATTTCCTAGTGCCATGCAAACAAGATCCAAAATACAATAACAGTGTTTGAAATACATTGTGAGTTCCTTGAGGCAGGGACCAACTTGTCTTGCATTCATTAAGCGCCGAGCATGTCATCAACGCTCAGTAGATAATGAAAAAAATACATTATCACAAATAGAGAATTTTATGCAGAGAGTTATTCCAGTTTTCTTAGAAAATATTCATATGCTTTTTTTGAGGTAAGAATTTACAAGTATAGCTAATTCCCCAGAAAGGGGAATGATTCTGGATGTAAACTGCTAGATGAGATCGCCTCTTGTGTAGTAGAACTCCTCATTGGTATTAAGCTGATGTAGCTTGTTCTTGCCCCCCAGCCACCTCCACCTCCCTCTCACCTGTGCTTTGTTATGCTCATCCTCCAATGCCATGCACTAGGACAGTCTAGGAGATGCTGTAACAGGCACAAGAGCTACACAGTACAGAATCGGAAGGATAACTAATTCCCTGGTGCCCTCATACTCCCTAGTGCTGAACAGAGCTTGGCCACAGTGGAGAATCTAGCCCAGTAACTGACTGTGTAGAATGATTGAATTTAAAAAAAAAACACAAAAAACTTAAATAAAGAAATATGTATCTGGTGGTATGTACTAGTTCTGTATTTCAAAAAGGGACTATGTGGTCTGTTGAGCCAGACTGCATGCAACTAAAGAAATACCATTCATGAAAGAGCTGCTTTAGTAGGGATTTGTCTTGTTCAAGACCTAGGATGACTGAGAGGTGGAGAGGAGATATATTAGAAGAGTTTAATAATATAAAAGTGTCCAGGAGTACTTCCCCCACGTGTGTACATCTTCCTGTTTATATTAAATGTGTGCTTGGGGGATTTATTTAAACCAGATGCCCTCTTTCTGTATACATCACTACTGAAGCACTTAAAATAACAAGAAGGAATGAACATCTATCATGTGACCTATTTGTTCAAGTCTATAAGTTGTTTTTATGTTCTGGGAGCTATCTTAAAAGATAGTCTTATATAAAGAATAAGTTTGTTGTCCCTTCTAAAACTTGCCACATGGTGACTTTATTGTAAAAGTAAGCAAAAGGCATGTAAGGGTTATTTTTTAGGGGAGGAGGATAGAAGTTTTGAAATATTTATTTCACTGGGATTTTGAATAACCCTTCTGTGTACTAAGCCAGACTTCCCTTCATTTGCGTCCTAAGGTTTGTCATGTGGTTTGGCAGACCTTCTAAGTTTGCAGTTAATTTTTTTTTATTTAAAACTTGTGCCTGTGTGCTCCCTTTCTACACAAAATCTAGATGGAAAAATGTTTTACTCCACACGTGGCAGATTCAGAATTCTAGCCATTTTACTACGTGCAGAGAGAGTGCCTGCTAAGAAACTGGGAGCATTTTTAATATGAGAAACGACAGATGAGTTGATTTTAATCAAAGTTACCCTGAATTACATTGACTGCCCATATCTCTTTGAACCTTAATTTTGTTAAAGTCTCTGTGCACTTTAGTGCAAGTCACAAGTTACTTAACAAAAATGGAGTACTGATTTTTCTAATGTGAAATTGGGTTAATTGCTATGTTTAGGGAGGTGCGACTTGGGAGAAATGGGGTGGAAGAAATTAAACAGCACCCTTTCTTTAAGAGCGATCAATGGAACTGGGATAACATTCGAGAGAGTAAGTGAACTGTAATTTATATTTTTCAAAACTGTTGTGAAGTAATTTTTTGTGTCTCAAGGGGTCTTGTGACTCAAGCTGTTTTTCTTACTATTGTTCTTGTTTATCGTAAAAGATATGTCAATATGGGTTCATAAATACCCCATTTTCTCTTTTTGCCATCCTGTAAATATATAGAGAGAGCATTTGTTTGAACAACAGAGTTTGATGATTTTTTATTATTTTAACAAATGACTACCTAGTCAGTTGTACTTTCCCAACTTACTTACCTCCTGAAGTTGTATAAGTTTGTATGAGTACAGTCTAACCTACCACTTAGAATAGTTTAAGTTCATAGAACTTGATTGCCCCTGGCAAAAATGTAGCTGTTTTAGTTTACCATTTGGTCAAAACTTCTGTAATCAGACGCATTTATTGAATTCTTAATATAATTAAGCTAAAATTGGGATTAAATATGTAACCTAAATCTGGATGATTTAGAAAATGTATGTTTTGTGCAGTAAAAACTGCCTGCCTCAGCAAACTGATTTTTTTTATTATTTTCTTTGTATTGCATGGTAACAGATCATTTCAAAACATTTACTTTGTCAGATGTGGGTGTAGAAAGAAAATTATTTTATTAATCTAGAGATATTAATGGATCTCCTATGTGATAAATAATATAAATTAATTGATGAAATTAGTGTATGCCATATTTACCTTTCATTATATAGTGTGTTGATATATCCATAACAGGATGTTGAATCTTACCATGAAGCTGACCATTTTTTCCTTTGTAGCTGCTGCTCCTGTTGTACCTGAGCTTAGCAGTGACATAGACAGCAGTAATTTTGATGACGTTGAGGATGACAAAGGAGATGTGGAAACCTTTCCAATCCCCAAAGCCTTTGTGGGAAACCAGCTGCCTTTTATAGGATTTACCTACTATCGAGAGAATCTGTATGTGATGTATTTTAATGTGCATCTTGTCAAATATAGTTGAAAATTATTTTATTACATTCCTCTCCTTTTGCTTTAAAAAACACATCTAATTACACTTGATATAGTTCTGTCCCTTGTTGAATATTTGAAATGTGGAATTTAAGTTGGATTTATCAAAATATGCCAATTTTTGGATGTTTCTAATTTTTATGTAGTAACTTATAAAATTGCTGTTGTGCTCTAGCATATACACTGGATTTTTAGATTAGCTAATTTTAGAAAAAAGTGTACAACTAGGGCATACATTGTGTTAGGGCTGGTTCTTTTCATTACTATTTATGTTGAATTTGCATTATTAGTGATGTGTATTGTAAGTATTCATTTAAACATTAGAAACTTGTATTGAACTGAAAAAGTCAGAACATTCACTTTGGCCAAGAGAACATTCAAATGAAAACTCATACTGAATAAAAATGGCTTCATTCAGAGAATAGCCTAGCAGAGATTAAGACTTTAGAGAATTGATTAAAATGAGTTGATTGGCATGGTTGCTAGAGTTGTAGAAAACTTGAATAAGGGTTGTTTTTTTTCCGACAGGTTGCTAAGTGACTCTCCTCAGTCTTGTAGAGAAAATGAATCCATGCAATCCAGGAAAAATGAGGTAAGTACTTTTCTAAAATAAACATTTAATGTATGTTTAAATTATTTTGCTATGTCTGTTAATACTTGCACAGTGGATTTAAACAATATCCAGTTATGAATAGCTAGTTTGTATTACTTAATGTTAGAATATTTCCGTATAATTACTGACCGAGATTTCATCTGTAAACATGAAAATGTCAAACTACTACATGAAATTGTGCAGTATAAATTTTAGATGAAAGGATTGTGTTTATATAGTATTAGTTTCATTTAGAAATAAAAAAAAGTTGTATTAACATTTGTATACATTTCTGGAACCATTGAAAATGTATGTCCTGTAGTAGAGAATATTATTAGTTCTAATAAAACAAATATTTGTAAGTTCTTTAACATTTTGTAATTAAAACATGATTAGATTCCACGATAACCTTCAAAGTATAAAATATTCTAAGTCTGAAATTTTATTAAGCATGGTGAGACCATTTAAAAAAAAAAAGATTTGTAGGAAATGTTTCCTGTACGTTTTCTTTTTAATGCTCACAATTAAAAAAATGTTTTCTTCTTTTTATAGGACAGCAAAGAGGTAGGTGCATTATTTTGAATCATGAAAGAAATTAAGATAGTTACATTATTTTTTGTCAACATTAAATAATATCTTAAAGGTTTATCCCAGTAAACTGTTAACAATAGATTAATTTGTTTATGAATAAAAGAACTTGTAAATTGCTTTTAAGAAGAGAGCCTACAGTTAGTTATAAGTGAAATGAGATTAATATTCATTCAGATTTATACTATAGTTACCTTTAATTCCTATTTGGCAACCAGAATTTATTTTGCAAATAAATGTGTAAGGCTCTGTTCACCACAAAAGATTTTGCTCCAGGGAACGTTGTAGATTTTTGGCTCCACATCTAAGTGATTCATCGCTAATTTGTCCAGGGCATGAAAAATAAATTTTCACACAGTACTGGTGAAGGAATGGTTATAAGCGTAAAACTGACCCTCAAAGGGGAGTGAGTGTTTGAAGCAGGAAGGTTTATTCAATATTTATGGATTGCCAACTGAGTTCATGCACTAAGATGGCAGAAAGTCTGATAGGATTTTTGTGTATATCAAAATAAATAAATACCTTAACCACTATTGATCTTAGCCCTCCCTTAGTAAATCAAGGGGATTGTGCCATTAATTAAAAATTGTGAGGGTTTGCTAATTTTTAAACCTTTAAAAACAGCTGTGGAAAAAGCTCATGCAAACATGAAAATAAATACATCCTGTGCTTCTGTACTTCCTTTCCATCATACTGTGCAGCTTAGGAGTTTCTAGTGTTCTTTAAAAGGAAGCTATTGCCATTTAAAACTACATGCAGTATCTGCTGAATTCTTCCAGTGGTTTTAGAACCAAGCATAGAATCATAGAAGATTAGGATTGGAAGTGATTTCAGGAGGTCATCTAGTCCAAACCCCTGCTCAAAGCAGGACCAACACCAACTAAATCATCCCAGCCAGAGCTTTGTCAAGCCAGGCCTTAAAAACCTCTAAGGATGGAGATTCCACCACCTCCCTAGGTAACCCATTCCAGTGCTTCACCACCCTCCTAGTGAAACAGTGTTTCCTAATATCCAACCTAGACCACCCCCACTGCAACTTGAGACCATTGCTCCTTGTTCGTCTTCTGCCAACAATGAGAACAGCCAAGTTCCATCCTCTTTGGAACCCCACTTCAGGTAGTTGAAGGCTGCTATCAAATCCCCCTTCACTCTTCTCTTCTGCAGACTAAACAAGCCCACTTCCCTCAGCCTCTCCTCATAAGTCATGTGCCCCAGCCCCCTGATCACTTTTGTTGCCCTCCGCTGGACTCTCTCCAATTTGTCCACATCTTTTCTGTAGTGGGGTCCCAGAACTGGACGCAATACTCCAGATATGGCCTCACTAGTGCCGAATAGAGGGGAATAATCACTTCCCTCAATCTGCTGGCAATGCTACTAATGCCATTAGCCTTCTTGGCAACAAGGGCACACTGCTGACCCATATCCAGCTTCTCATCCACTGTAATCCCCAGGTCCTTTGCTGCAGAACTGCGGGTTAGCCAGTTGGTCCCCAGCCTGTAGCGGTGCATGGGATTCTTCCATCCTAAGTGCAGGACTCTAAACTTGTCCTTGTTGAACCTCATCAGATTTCTTTTGGCCCAATCCTCCAATTTGTCTAGGTCACTCTGTACCCTATCCCTGCCCTCCAGCATATCTACCTCTCCCACCAGCTTAGTGTCATCTGCAAACTTGCTAAGGGTGCAATCCATCCCATCGTCCAGATCATTAATAAGATGTTGAACAAAACTGGCCCCAGGACCGACCCTATGTGACATAGTACCTTCAATTGTACGTTTCAATAGCAAATATTTTATTTTCTATATTTCTGACTTGTAAAATACAAAGGATTGATAAAATGCTGTATTTGTGTTGCCAACTCTTGTAATTTTTATCACGAATCTCACAATATTTCATGTTTTTCTTAATGCCCCAGCTCCTAGAGTCATGTAATTGTTACCATTTCAAATTTTGGTTTTTAAAAAATGTTTTTGCCCCTCATGGTTGCAGAAAAAAGTTTGAAAACATGAACCCTATAGACTCAAAAGCCCAGAAGGCAATTAAAAACTCCCAAATTTATGATTTTTAACCCAGTCTCATGAATTTTTGTGTATTAACTTACGGTTTTAGAATGTTGGGAACTGGCAATACGACGTTTTCCAAAATGTAACGGGGACAAGTTAGGTTCTGTGCAAGTGTTAGACTAAGAAATTCTCACCTTCTTTCATGATGTGTTCTACCTGAGCATGCTTAGAGGCATTCTTAAAATGTCATGCATTTTGGGCATATGCCTGATATAGGGTTGTTTTTTGGAGATACTAATCCAAAGAATCTGCTCTCGAGGGTTGGGGTTAGAGAGAATAAAGGAGAGGGCCAGAAACAACATTCTATTCCTGTGGCGCTTTTGTGGCTCACCATATGCAGCACATAATACTGTGATGGTTAGATTTATTTTACTATTGTATGCAACAAGTTTTGTTTCTATGGATATCTTCATGAAGAATCTTCATGAGCGTTAATATCTTGCAGAGATGTAACTTTAATTCCCAATAATCCAGTGGTGGTGACTGGCTGAGAAATAATTTTCTGATCCCATCAAATTGAAAGATTATATTGATTTTCATTGCTCATCTGTCTTGGTTATTTAACTGAACTACACGCATTTTTACGTGATAGTATTTTATATGTGGACCATACTTTTTCTGACAGTTTGCACAGTTTCAGAAAAAACTGAGCAAGTTAGAAGAACAACTCAGTAATGAAATACAAGCCAAAGATGAACTAGAACAGAAGTGCAGGTAAGAGATAGCGGTTTATATTTGGTATATTTATTCCAAACCTTTTTTAATTTTCCATTTTAAAAACTTAAAATACAATTAAAAGCATACTTAAGGGACCCCAGCTCCACTAATGAGATCCCATTTTAAACAGCCAATTTGTTAGCCCCATATGATTACCACTACCTTTAGAACATAACAGTGGCCGTACTGGATCAGACCAATGCTCCATCTAGCCCAGTAGCCTGTCTTCCGACAGTGGTCAGTGACAGATGCATCAGATGGAATGAGAAAAACAGGGCAATTATTGAGTGATCCATCCCATGTAGTCCAGTCCCAGCTTCTGGCAGTCGGAGGTTTAGGGATACCCGGAGCATGGAGTTGCATCCCTGACCACCTTTTTGTTTTGTCTTTAGAGAAGACCACCTCTACTGGACAAATTATTTTTTTCTCAGTGCTTGTGTGGTTGCTTAAAGCAGAATTCACTATAGAAAATTCACGAGACACATCCGCATTATTCTGTTTTTCATTATAACCAATGTTTGCCTTTGTTCTAATATTTGTTTTCATATTTCTCAGGTCTGTTAATGCTCGTTTAGAGAAGACCGTGAAAGAACTAGATGAAGAGGTAAATCAGTTTATTTTCTATTGCACTTATAGCTTAAGTGTTGTTATGTGTGTTAGGTATGTTTACTTTTCTCAGGATACACCAACTTTTAAGTAATAATGGAACTATGGCACAAGAACATGAGTTTATGTTCTACCAGTGTACCCTAGCATAAATGTGCTGCCACTATTGCAATATCTTGGCAAGAGGAGGGTAGAGTGATTCTTACATTATTTAATTGATTCCAGAATCATGTTTACTATGTCCTGTGCCTTAGTTAATAATTTGTAGACACACAGCATTTAAATAAAATGTGTGTGAATTGAATTCCAGTTAAAGATGCAGGGTTGATAGTGTTGAAGGCTGAAATACTCCCTTCATAGAGCAGATAACAGGTCGTGGCAGTTCAAGCATCCCTCTACTGCCCCATCCTTGTGCCTTAATCCTTATGTTCAGGGACCACCTCTGGAGGGAATGACTATAGCTTAGTTGTCATGCCCATTTAATCATTGGTTTTGCTGCTGAGTCTGCCAGTTTTGCTGATGCTGCTTGTTCATTGCATACTTGTTCACTGGAAATGAGACATAAGCCCCCACAATCATTTAACATAGACCATCAACAGAGCCTTCATATGGTAACAGCTTTCGGACACTGCCAGTCTGGAGTGGATTTGCACCAGCCTTTCATCCATTGCTGATCTCCCGACTACCCAGATTCTTTAGAAATAGAATTTTATGACTGTACAGTTATTTGCCAATTGTGTATTGTTCTGCAGTTATATACAAACACAGCTGTTAAGTGTTATGGTGTGTGTATACAGCAAGCAGATGGAATACATTTTTGTGTATTTGTAAGTTAATTGGAATCCATGAGCTATCCTTTATATCTTTAAAGTAATACCATGGTTCTGTGTATTTTATTTGAACTTAACTATAATTATCTCCAGGTAACATCAAGGAAGAATGTAGAATCTGCATTAAGGCAATTAGAAAGAGAGAAGGCTCTTCTTCAGCACAAGAATGCAGAATACCAGCGGAAAGCAGAACATGAAGCAGATAAAAAACGGAATTTGGAAAATGATGGTATGTGGAGCAGAACCTTAAACGTGGTACACGGGGATTTTAACATAAGATAACAGAACTGTTGTTTTGTTGGTAAGATCTGTTTAAAGATTGTGAATCAGTGTGTGATGGAGATAACATGATTATTTTATTATAGTTAACAGTTTGAAAGACCAGCTTGAAGATTTAAAAAGGAGAAATCAGAACTCTCAGATATCAAATGAGAAAATCAATCAGCTACAAAGACAGGCAAGTTGTATTTCTGTGTGTGTGTGTTAATTTAAAGTCATTGTTATAATAGGCTATTGAAGTTCAGGCTTCCTACTTAGCAGAAGAAAATTGCAAGTAGTTACAGAAATTACTCTTTAATATGAAATGTTGGTTTACTAATGTAATGTTTGAAACATTTCCATATTTTTCTTTCCTTCAGTCCATAAATTGTTGATTAATTTGTAATGGAGATGGTCATTTTGCATTTTAATTGTCTAAAATCTGCATTTATTAATCAATAGCTGGATGAAGCCAATGCTTTACTACGCACAGAGTCTGATACTGCAGCCAGGTTAAGGAAGAACCAGACCGAAAGTACAAAGCAAATCCAGCAGTTGGAAGCTAATAATCGAGAATTACAAGATAAAAACTGCATGCTGGAGAATGCTAAACTCAAACTTGAGAAGGACTTCATCAATCTTCAGTCAGCCCTAGAATCTGAAAGAAGAGATCGAAGTCATGGGTCAGAGATTATCAGCGATCTACAAGGTATTACAGTAAATATGTCTACATTGATTCATGTTTCTGAAATACAAAAGAGTATAGTGTAATTATTTGATCTAATTGTAACTAATTTTAATACATTGTCCAAGTCAATTGCATCTTTCCTAAATAAAATGTCATCAGTAGATGTAAAATGTTGCTAATACCTCTGAATCACCTGTTAAATGTGAATGTATTTGTTCTAACTTTTGTAGCTAACTTTTTTCTTTTTATTGCTAACTTTTTTTCTGACTGGTTGATATTTTGGACATTTTTAGGTCGAATATCTAGCCTAGAAGAAGAAGTAAAAAAAGGAAAGAGTACATTAGCCAAAGCAGAAGTGGAGAAGAGACAATTACAAGAGAGGCTCACAGATTTGGAAAAGGTAACTGCACATTTTAACGTAGAATTGGTTTGCAGTATAAAAGGTAGAATATAAAATGATGGTATTAATGGAAACTAAACTTGAGTCAGATTAAAGCTCCATGGTACTTACTTGAATTAGTAACTTTTTTCCCCAAATTTTCTCTTTAAATAATTTTCAGCATGTGTAGGAAATCAATAAATGTATTTTTAAGATAGAGGAATATCTTAGACCAGTGGTTTTCAATCTTTTTTCATTTGTGGACCCCTACAAATTTTTGAATGGAGGTGTGGACCCCTTTGGAAATCTTAGATGTAGTCTGTGGACCCCAATGTATTAGAGGAATTTATTCTTGGTGTTTTACACAGATTGTTTAGAAAGCTCCCTGTGCAACATGTTGAAAGATTGCCCAGAGCAGATTAGATGTTATAGGGATGCTCTATTGTATAGGCTGTATTGTGCACAAGGTTGTTTTAGTCCCCATTGAAAAATCAGAACTTGCTGAAGCGTAGAGCTTTTTTACTTGCTGCGTTATAGAATGCGATTTGCACTATGTTTATTTGCTTTAATAGTTGCTGCCTTTTCTCTATTTGTATGTTTTGTGTTTTTCTCACTTAGATTATAAAGTCTGCTAGTCAGGAACCATGTTATTTTCTTTCTCTGTAAAGTGCCATGTAAAGCTACAGTTCTGTACAAATTTATTTTACTATATTAAATTGTAAAGAAAACAAACTGTTATTCGTAGCATTTAATCAAATCTATGAAAAATTTTCTATTGGTATTAAGTTTTATAAAACCTTGCTTTCACAAATTCTAAATTTTGAACCATATTTAACTTGACATAGTACTCCCTTTTTAGGCCTCAATCCAATAATTTTCTACACACAGGAGTACCATTGCAGCCATGCAGTGCCTCTTTGTGCCCACACTAAATCAATTGCAGGACTGATGTCTTAATTTGTAAGCTCCTTGAACATGGACTATGTCTTCTTCTGTCAGTGTATTGCCTTTTAGTCATGCTCCATAGTACTACTATTCATAACTATTTTAGCCTTAGTTTGCAGTCAAGAATAATTGTTTTGTCAAGTAAGTCAATTTCCTTTTTCCTGTAACTTCAACAGGAGAAGAGCAACATGGAAATAGACATGACATATAAACTCAAGGTTATGCAGCAGAACTTGGAACAAGAAGAAGCTGAACATAAAGCCACAAAAGCACGATTAGCAGACAAAAATAAAATCTATGAATCTATTGAGGAAGCCAAGTCTGAAGCCATGAAAGGTATGCATACAATCTTAATTTTAAAATTATGTAATATATATATACTTCCCCTCAGTGTTTTTGAACATTCTGAGCACGAGGCCATATAAGGGAGTGCTGGGGTTCCTCTACCACCTCAGTTCCTTTCAACTGCTATGCTAATTGGAAATTAACTGCTCTGATCCATTCAGATCCAGGATTTTTTCTCCATTGATAGTACCGTTGATAGTTTTTGTGGTGGTTGTTTTTAGTGTGTAGTGTAATTTAAGTATAGTAATAAGTGTAGATGCTTTTGTAGAGTTGGTAGGTTTGGTTCCGTGTTATGGCAGAACCAAAGAAAAAGAAATGGGATTTAAGAGACATGCTTGGTGCTCATCTGTCTTCCCAGTGTCAGGCAACCATATTAGGTGCCTGAAGTCCTGGGGGGAAGGTCATTCTCCTTCTGTGTGTTTCATTTGCTGGAATTTCATGCCCAGCGCGTTCAAAGAGGGGCAGAATAGACTCAGGTACTTCCTTTAAGGAAGTTCTAGCTGCTAAACCCTCTGGTTCTTGGGTGGTCATCAGATGTGAAGCCTAAGAGACTAGGTTTGGTGCCTGTGGCTTTCTCCAGTAAACAAGCTGCTGAAAGGTTCCAGGATGTCAGGCTCTTCATCAATTCTAACTCCGCATCCTTCTGTTAAAGTTGTCAAGACTTTGAAGCAGTGTTGGTGGGAAAATGGCTGTCTGCTTTCTAAGGATCCTAGACCCACATCCTTGGCTCTGGCTCTATTGGTTCCAAGAAAGAAGGTGAAGAAGAAGATGGTCACTGTTAGCAGTGCCAGATCTTGTACATTAGACTTATTGGATCAGAGACTTATTGGAGACTGATGTGGCCTCTGTGGTTCCGACTCTGAAATCCAAGTTGGTTCTGGGTTCAGCTTTGAAGACCAGAGCTGCAGAGTTGAGTATTTATCTGGATATGGTACTTCCCAGGTCTGTGGGACAGGCTTCAAAGAGTCTCTGATCTGAAAAGGACTTCTACAGTGGTGACTGATGTGCACCTTCCCTTGTCTTAGCATTCCTTGGATCTGAGCAAGGCAGATGGCAATGAGGAAGAGACATGCATCATCCATTCTGCAGTCTGTATCTTCTTCACTTGAAAAAAGAGAAGAGCAGAAGAAAGTGTTTCTCAGTATGCATCTCTGCTTCCTCTCCTAAGTCTACTACAGGATCCCCTGGCAGATCTTTCTCACCTTTTACCTCTCTCCACTTTCCAGTTCCATTGTTCTCTCAGAAGTGTTCCTTAGTGATCCAAAATCAGATCCTCATTTAGAGGAGGATAAAGGAAGAATTAAGAAACCTGATTCATCCCAGTTCACGCCTCTTCGGCCTGTGTTCCCTATCTCCTTTGCTCCTCCTCCTATGGGTAGTCCTTGTCTCCATTCTGTACCACTGCAGAATTTTTTTAATCATCCTCCTTATGGATGGAGACGTGATTTTTCTTCTGATAAGGATCCAGTGGCTCAGCAGTCCTTCGATCTGACAGCTCTGGCTGAAGAGGAGGATGAAGAGATATAGTGCCTGTTATTGAACAAGAGCAAATGGACGTCGATCTTGATTTGTCACCTGAGGTAGATGTGACTTTTGCAGTTTCATGACCTGGTGCATTGCGTGGAATCCACACTGAACCTACCTTCCGTGACTGTGGAGGAAACCTCCCATCCAGTATTCAACATACTTGGGATTACCTCCAGGAATAAGTTATCGCTGTCAATTCTGGATGGTCTTTTACAGCTTACTAAGATTGTTTGGTCAGCTCCTGCTTCCTGTCAGCCTGTTGCCAAAAAAAGATGGCAAACTGTATTGGATCCCTCATTAGGGGTTTTCTTGTTTTCGTAGATCCTGTGTCTAATTTGCTGGTTGTGGCTGCTGCCAAAAACAGACTTTGGTCAGGCCAAGTCCTCTCCAGTCTTGCTGACGGAGGGGAAAAGATTGATACCTTTCGGGGAGAGGTGTTTTTTTCCCTCTTCCCTTGTTGTTAAGGTGGTTCATTGCCATGTGATGTTGGCCTATTATCAGTTCCATCTATGGGAGAAGGTGACTCTGTATGTTCAAGATTTGCCAGATGATAAAAGAAGGCTGGCAAATGCTATTTTGACTGAGGGACAAAATGTGGCAAAGCATGGTCTCAGGGTGGTGTTTGATGTTTTAGATTCTTCCGCCAGAGTATTGGCATCTGGCTTTTGTCCCCTTTGCATTCAAATTGCTCATTTTTTTCAAATTGATCGTTTTCCTCCTCCATGCTGCCTGAGTACCAGCAGGGGAATAACTGAGGGCACAGGCACTGACTTTTCCTTTTCCCCAGGGGTGCTCTATCCCGCCCCGCCCTGCGGCCCTGCCCCCACTCTGTCCCTTCCCCCATGCCCCGCCTTCACTCTGCCTCTTCCTGCTCCTGCTCTGCCCTCTCCCCCTGAGTCCCTGTCCTCACTCGGCCCCCTCCCCAAGGCCCCCGTCCACTGGCCGCTCTCCACCCTTCCCCAAACCCCTCCCTGAGCTGCCAAACAGCTGTTTGATGGTGGCACTGGCCTCCATCAGCTGTTTGGCAGCAGCACCACCTCCCCTCCCCATCAGCTGATGAGCGGGAGTGGCAAATAGCTGTGGCTGGTGAGTGCTGAGCACCCACTATTTTTTTCAGCGCCTATGACTGAGAGCTCAGGAGAGACAGGCTCCCTGATCTCAGTTCCAGTGTCCAGCCCCAACCTGGACCAGAGTAGCTGGGAAAAGCCATTCCAGGGAAGTCTGGCATCTCCTTTGTAGTCCTGAGCTGGAGCACGCTCAGTTGCTCTGTGGGGATGGAGCATATGCAGGCTGATGTACATTAGGAGCTGTGAGATGCTCAAGCACACTCATTCAGGATGGACTCTTTGGAGATTTTAGCTGCCAAAATTGAAGTCTCTACTTAGTATATATGAGCTGTGATTTTTCAAAGGCTTATTATGTGGCCAAATTTGGGTATATTTTCACAGGAATGGCACGTAGAATAGGATGGCAGAAGTTCAAATTGTTCAGCAAGCTGATGCCCAGCTGAACCACCTGGTATTAGTGAATCACCATTGTGCTTACTGCTCATGTTAAAAAAAAGTCTAGTGAGCGTTTTTTTGTTTTGTTTTTTTTAACAGCTCTAGTACCTCCATGCTTTTGAGCAGTGATTTGAAATTGGCAGGGGCACTGCCTGTGTGGCCCAGACCTGAAGAAGAACTGTATATAAGCACAAAAGCTTGTCTCACCAACAGAAGTTGGTCCTGTAAAAGATATTAAGTCACTCAGCTTTGTGTGTCTCATAATTTTATCATCAGTTTCAGTCGTGCCATCTAGTACCTTTCATCCCACAGGAATCCAAAGTATGTTCAATTGTATGCACAGCTAGGCACCTAAATAAGTGTTGTTATTTTCAGTAGGGCTGAGCACCCACAACTCTTACCGACTTCACATTTAAATTCTTTTATTTCACAGAAATGGAAAAGAAGTTGTTGGAGGAGAGATCTTCAAAGCAAAAAGTAGAAAATGGCTTGTTAGAAATTGAAAAGCGGTGTTCTATGTTGGACTGTGATCTCAAACAGTCGCAACAGAAAATAAATGAGCTGCTTAAACAAAAGGATAAACTAAATGAAGATGTAAGTAGCAATTATATAAGTAATCTGAATTGGAACCTTTTGGATATTGTAAAATTTGCTCCAGTTTTAAAAGTATTAAAGTTTCCTGATTATGGGCAGTATCTGTAAATCTTTACAAATGAAAATAATAGTAAGTATATCCCCACACTCACTTCTGTAGGTTGCAGGAAGGCTTCCTTAGAGTGTAAAGTTTCATTTTTTGAAGTTTTTCAACATTGTGACAAACTGAGAAAAATTTGTTATGTGGAATGTAAAATTCTCGAATTTTAGGGTTAAAAACTTGATTATTCTACTTAGAGATAATTTTAGCTACAGAATAATCTTTACATCCAAAAAAGACATGTTTGTGCTGTACAGTAGTTCATAGTTAATACGATAAAAACAATAGAGAATCAGTGAAAGTGTAGATGTTGTTTTGAGAGTTCCTTACTGTATGAGTCTGTAAAATTCCTCTGATGTAACAAAAAAAATATATTTATTTTTCAGGTTAAAAACTTGACATTAAAAATAGAACAGGAAACACAAAAGCGCTGCCTCACGCAGAATGATCTGAAGATGCAAACACAACAAGTCAACACATTGAAAATGTCAGAGAAACAGCTAAAACAAGAGAATAACCATCTCCTGGAAATCAAACTGAGCTTGGAAAAGCAAAATAATGAACTCCGCAAGTAAGTAGAGCTGCATCACAGATTTACTTAATTCTTTAATTTTAAAAATTCAATTGCATTTTTATCTTATCTTATGCAAAATTTGAGAGCCATGTGTATATAAAATCCTGACTATACAAAATCAACCATATCCTAGACACTCCAGATGGTTGTTTGCTATTGTTTATGCTGTAGTAGTATCTAATGGTCCTGGTAGAGATTGGGGCCTTATTGTAATAGGCTCTGTATAAACACATACTAAGAAATGGTTGCTTCCCCAAAGAGCTTACAAAAAAGAAAAAAATTCCTGACCACATGAGTTACACCTGTAGATTCAATAGAAAGCTACTCTGAAATGCTGTTTTCAAAAAAATAGATTGTGTGAAGACATAAAGGAACATGTTAGGATTTGAGATAAATGAAAAGCTGATTAGAATTAGCTTTCCCTGAGAGTCTACATTGGAATCAGACTAAAATGATTGCACACTTCTAAATTTGCATCTAAAAATGAGATGATAGTCTTAGCACTTAGTAACTTCATCTTCAGTGTGACTTACAAACACTAATCAGTTACCACTAATTAAAATAAATATTTTATGATGATACTAAAAAAACAAATTGGGAAGGGGAGTTTGTTTCATATGAGATTTGTTCTCTGTAATTATCAATTTTATGTTTTCTGGAGCAAGAATGGTCTTGTGGCTGAAAAGGCAAGACTAATATAGGTGTTAGAAAGATCTCATTTTTGTTCCATCTGTAAAATGATAGTTTATGTGGAGGCTCTTTTGGTCTAATTCACTACCATTGGTAAAGCACTCTTGAGGTCCTCTGATGGAAGAAGTGCAAAGTATTACTATTATCATTCATATGTGCTGACTAGTGATTGAATGAATTGCTTTAATAATGGGTGTGTTTAAAAAAATCTGCACTATGAAGAACACTAAATTAAGGTTCAAGGTCCATCTTGCGACTCTGACTGCCTGAGGTTCTGGAGCTCGGATTGTCACTTTATTGATGTCCTATATGGAGATGAGCGAAAAGGCCAATGACTATTCGCTTTAGTAATGTCTCTTGTTGGCTAGCCCGTGTAACAGTATTGTCAGTTTAAAAGGGTGTTCTTTCCAGATCAGAAGAGAGCACAGTATTCATAGCTGTCCAGGCAGAATAGGGGAACAAGAGAGATCTTGGGGGACAGGGGATCCCTCAGGATTTGGTATAGAAGACCATACTTTGATCAGGGGATGCTAAGATATAAAAGAGTTTTATAGATGTGTGTGCATGCACACAGCCTTCTGTGCTTATGTAGTTGTTTGGAATATCTTCACAAATTTTGCTTACAAGCACTGTTTTTTGACTTTACAGAGAACGTCAGGATGCAGATGGACAAATGAAAGAGCTTCAAGACCAGCTTGAAGCTGAACAATATTTCTCAGTATGTATTTTAGTTTTTGTTTTACCAATCCAGTCTTTAAGGAGCAGAAACAGTACCATCTAAGTTAGATGAACAGTTGCATCTCAGATAGTGACTTGCAAATATTTTTAATGAACAGTCTGCAAACATTCATGTAGTCTGAAATTTGTTCACATAAACTACCCTGCACGTACTTGTGGAAAAGTAGGATCTGTCACAACAGTGCATAAACAGAAAGAAAAAGATTCAATTTGTCGTGTAATTAAATGACTTATTTGCCAGCTTAACATAAGAAAAATCTTTATAAAAAGATGTATTTCTGTGGGAGATCAACTTTGTACATGAACAAATAAATAATTCTTGATTGTTAGTTATGTTTCCATCAAATGGACATGATAGCTTATGCAGAATTGTCTTAATAGTTATAGATTTGGAAAAACTGCTTTTTCAAAACCTCTCTAAAAACAAATTTCTAAAGTATTTTTAATGAGTTATGTTGCAATACAAAAAAAACACTTTGAAAAAGCATGAACGTGGTGTATGTGGATTTATAAATTGTACATGCATACATACTTTCGAACTTCTAATCATTGTGTGAGGATAGCACACCACATTTATGGAGAAATGTATTGGTGGCTGGGGGGATTTCGATGGGTTCTCTTTTCCCCACTAGCTGGGTTTCAGGAGGGTGAGGATGATGGAGGTTCTTTGAGAGGGTGCATTCATTGAAGGTGAAATAAACAGTTTTGGGAAGTATTGCTGCCTTAAGCCAGGTCTAGGAGAGACAAGACGCTGCTGTGCTTGGCCTCTTGCTGTATTAAAGGATTTTTGATTTAAGATGGTCTTGTCTCATTCATTCAGATACCTCATAAGCTAGAATATGCAAGTCCTTTTTCTTTCCTTTCCTTTGTTTAAAAATCTAGACTTTGTACAAGACCCAAGTTCGTGAGCTTAAAGAGGAATGTGAAGAAAAGACCAAACTTTGTAAAGAAATGCAGCAAAAGATACAGGAGTTACAAGATGAGAGGTGAGGATTTGCCACTTATTTGTATATGTACAGAAAATCAGGATATTTACTTCAGTTGGAAAAGGTTTTCATTTAGTCTTTGAACTAATTATTTTTCAATAATTTGCAGAGACTCCTTGGCTGCACAACTTGAGATAACTTTGACAAAAGCTGATTCAGAGCAACTTGCTCGCTCCATTGCTGAAGAACAGTACTCAGATTTGGAAAAAGAGAAGATCATGAAAGAATTGGAGATTAAAGAGATGATGGCTAGGCATAAGCAGGAACTTACTGAGAAAGATGCTACCATAGGATCGGTGAGTAATCTGCGTTATAACTCCTGTCATATATTTTTGTGCATGCTAAAAGTTCTTTAATCATTATAACAAAGATACATTTGGAGGCTTATAGAAATACACAGCTTGAAAGATTTTTAGATTTTTGTTAAAGTAGACTAGAGGAAAGCAGTATGAGATCATGAATTTCTTTTTTTAAAAGCCATTACATGGTTAATATTGTTTAATTGAAATTTAGAAATCATTACAAATACCGAGAAACATTTTCCGTTTACATATTTTTCATATCTGGATGAAAAAATAGTTATTTCCATACTTTGGACCTATGGAAACAAAACTGAGAATGTATGTATAAGCAGTTGTATATAAAAATCTGTGTATGATGATACAGTTTATGTTGCTATAATCAAGGTTATGTCATGTTTTCCATTCTAAATCATATTTTTTCAGATGTGTGTAGTTTGGACATAAAAATTCCTAGTTGTTCTGAAACATGACGTCCTAGGAGATGGTTCCTTTGGCTAGAAGGGGTTTGTGGCTGGAGGGATTCTGCAGCGGTTGGCTCCAGGGCTGCCTGAGCAGCTCGGGCAGCCTCTTGGCCAGCCACACTGGCCGCTGCTTGGGCACTCTCGGCTCACCGTGTCCCCACCCCCCACAGCAACAGTAGTTTGGGTGTGGGAGGGGCTCAGGGCTGTGGCAGGGGGTTGGGGTGTGGGGCGGTGCTTACCTCTGCAGGGCTCCCTGGAACTGGTCGGCATGTCCCTGCAGGTCCTAGGCGGAGGGGTCAGGGGGCGCTGCGTGCTGCCCCTGCCTGCAGGCACTGCCCATGCAGCTCTCATTGGAGCTGCTCAGGGAGCCTGCCAGCCCCACCAACCCTCCCCCGCAGCACCCATGGCGCTCCCGGGCTGTTTCCCCTTCCTCTCCCCCCCTCCCCTGCCCCCAGAGCACCTACAGCCCCCTGGCCCAAGTTTTTTTTAGGGGTATATTGTATAAGTCATGGACAGGTCACAGGCCTTGAATTTTTGTTTACTGTCTGTGACCTGTCCATGACTTTTACTAAAAATACCAGTGACTAAAACATAGGCTTAGTTATAAACAGCCTAGGAAGAATTCAGATCTATTAGCTAGTTCCAGAGAGAAGATCCAGGCCTGCCAATTCTATATCCCCTGATCCTAATGTGCTAAACACATAGATATAGGTCACTCTCTGCCCTTCGGGCCCTCTAGAAAGCAAGAAGCAGCTGGAACTGCCAGCACTCTCAATTAAGAACTTGCTTTCTTGCAGTGTCTCATTAATTCTTAGTCACATCCCAAAATGTGGAGCTATACCCACTTCATCTCTGTTAATCAGTAGGCATGTGGTCTGCTGTTTATTCCATCATTAACTGGCATCACTACCTCTTTTCCTTCCTTGAAATGTTTCTTCATTTTTCAACCTCTGGGCTTCCACACACATTTTCTGGATCTCCACTTCCACTGTGTTCCTCACATGGGTCTCTCCTTTCCCCTCACCTGCCCTTCATATTACCCAAACCTTCTGTACTTCAGTTCCATCACCTCTCTCCAGCTCTCACAGATCATTATCTAAAATCTACCTCCTCCTCCACATTTCTGAAATCTGAATTAACCCTGATTATTCATAACCATATGCTCTTCTGTCCCTACCAGTCTTAAACTTAACCCTCTCCTTCAATTGTCTATGGAATGTCTGCTCTGTCTTGCAAGAAATTCACGTCAGTGTATGATTATCTTCAGCTCTGTGCTCTTGCTTTTCTGACTCAGCTTATATTCCTGCCCTCTTTCAGCAGACTCTTCTTTAGTTCCTTTTCATTCTAAATATTTGCTGCAGTGAGCTCCTTTCCCCCTCTTCAATCCCAAGTTTCTCAACTCCATATAGCACTTAAACCTGCACATTCTCTGCTTTGAAGTCTCTCGCCTCCAGATGGCTGTAATTTTTCATGTATTCTGCCAAGTCCTGAGCTTGTTAGTGTCTTGATTTTGATGGCAGACTCTTCCTGTTCCTTTTTTACATATCTCACAATCTTTACAACATTTTTCATTTAGCTCCCCTCTCTCTCCTCCACACCCCCGCTCCCTCACATACCTTTGCTTGGTCACTCTCTCCTCTGTGCCTCCCATTTCTCTTCCTGCTTCAAATCCTCTATTCTTTTACCATGGTCTCATTCTGATGTATTTTCGTTCTTTTTAAGTAATCAAATAAATCTGTTGCATTACTTTTTGTTGTGTGGTAACATATACTTAATTTTTTTTTTAAGCTGGAGGAAGCCAATAGGACACTAACTAGTGATGTGGCTAATCTTGCTAATGAGAAAGAAGAACTGAATAATAAACTGAAAGAAGTCCAAGAACGTGAGTTTTCACTGCACAACTTGAATTTAATTTGAAAATGCTTTCGTTCTCAAAAAGTGTACCACTTAATGCTCTAATTAGCCATTACAGATTTCTTATTACCTTGTTGCAGAAATTGCAAGGCTAAAAGAGGAAGAAACAAATATAACAATTATTAAAACTCAGTTTGAGAAGCAGTTGTTGAATGAGAGAACACTGAAAACTCAGGTACGTATAAAAGAATGAGCAGATGATCATGATAATTGGAATAATATACTGTTCATGCAGCAGATAGCATTTTTAAATGGAATAATTGCTTTCTGTTATAAACCAGCTGTATGCACTCATTGAAGCCTGGACACAATTTTTATATCCTCAGAGCTTTTTGCTAAACCAGATTACTTTAGGAAAACTTGCACATCTTGGGTGCAGACCTGTAATGTAGATGCATGGTGCTTGAATAAAACAGTTTGACCAAGTGTGATTTAGCCCAGTATAAATCCCTAATCCCGATAAATCCTTTATTTTGATTCAGAGAAGCTAGTTTTGACATGTATTTTTGTTTATGACATAGTTTGATTAAATTACATTGTTAGCAACTCTGAATTACCTTCCTCTGTGTTTTTCATCTTTCCCTGAAGCATCTGGTAATAAACTCTTCTAAAGTTTGGATACTAGACTTTGTGTCAGATTTTGTGCTCCTGCATTGTGCTCGAGGCATCCTAGAGGCATATTAGACATTCCAATTCAGAGTTGTATTTGGCTTCTAACTAACTGGGCTATCTAAAGAAAGTATGTAAAAGAACAAAAGTACTTTGTTCCAGAGTGAAATGTCATTATCGTTTTTACAATACTTGATTCATCCACAGAATTAAATTGGTATTTTATTTAGATGGAAATGCACAAATATTTTTGAATTCATTGGTAAAGTATTTTAATAGAGGCTAATCATGGGTTGGAGAGATGACATTATTTGTACCTGTTGTTTACCTATGGGGGCTTTATTGTATTTCTGTGTTTTTGTTTTGTTTTAAGGCGGTAAACAAGTTGGCTGAGATCATGAATCGGAAGGATCCAGTCAAACGTGGAGCTGACACTGATGTGCGGAGGAAAGAAAAGGAGAATAGGAAACTGCATATGGAACTGAAATCTGAACGTGAAAAGTTAACCCAGATGATGATTAAATATCAGAAGGAGATCAATGAAATGCAGGCAGTAAGAAGTGAATTTGCAGCAATAAATAGCAATAAAATGTTCTTAAATTTGTTCAAGCAATTGAAACAGAGTTTAAAATTATTCCAAGATGTCATATTTATTATGCATACATTTTCCATATCTTAGGGATGACACAGCTAAAGAAATTAAATAGTTGTGTATTTCAAGATTGGTTATAAAGTCCTCATTTCACCAAGAAAATACTATAAAAATAAGAAATAATAGAGTACAACAGTAATACTAAAAGGCAAACCTTTTCAAATCATTTTCACAGCAAATAGCCGAGGAGAGCCAGATACGAATCGAACTGCAGATGACACTTGACAGCAAGGATAGCGACATTGAACAACTTCGCTCACAGCTCCAGTCAATACATATTGGCCTAGACTGCAGCAGCATAGGCAGTGGACCTGGGGATGCTGAGGCAGATGATGGATTCCCTGGTATGATATTTTTTTATTAATATTCCTATCTTTATCAGTTTCATAGTGTTTTATCGTGGAAATCAAAGCATTAAACGACATTCTTATGCTTCCGTGACTTCCTTGCTTTTTCTGTACTTCCTTGTACCTTTTCAGTAATCTGATAGCACTTAATATCCATGCACTAACTGACACTATCTTTATTTTGACTATACTTAGTTCTTTCTTCTTAAGTTGTTTTTAAAAAGTTCATTTCAATTGTTTAAGAATTAAAAATTACATTTTGTTTCTCATTCGAACTAACAATTGTTTTTTTCTCTTAATTGATATGTTCATTTTGTAAATACTGTATTAAATGATAAAATGTAAAAACTAATATTCTGTTTTTAGTGATTCTGTTTTAACTTTTCTGTCCTTTTTCCTCCTTTGTGCTGGGTGTTTAGTCCATATCACTCAATCTCACACTATGGAGTCCATGTCTCTTACCTACCAGCATTCTTCTACCTCTGTCAGTATTGCCACTAAACCTTCCAGTTCTCACATGCTTCTCGACTCTGATTCTGACTCAGAGGAAGAACCTTTGTCTTGTGTACACATCCCTTCAGAACCTGATAGCACAGGTGACATCCCTGAAACCATTTGGTGCACTTACGTTTTGTTTTAACTTTGTCCTTTTGGCCTTTTTTATAACTAACACCATTAATATACTATTGACAAAAGCACTGGAAGTACAAGTTGTAATCCAGAACACACTAAAGAGAATGTTGCATGAACAAAGAATTGGCCTGGTTTTTTTTCTAAATGTTCATTGTTTGCAACCAAATCAGACCTATAGTTTAAAAACAATCATTTTGTAGAAATATTTTGTAAGGTGATTTTATTGCCCTATGTTCAAAGTAGTCTCTATCTAGTGTCTGTGCCTAACTTTATGCACCTCAAAGTTTTTGGGTATCCAAAACCTTGTCTATTTGTTCCAGTTGAGCAGTTAATTACTCCAGTTAAATAATTGAATATCTAGCCATTCACTTTGTGAGTACAGATACTACTTGCCTGTGCAAATCCAATTTTGGCCTACCCAAATTCTTTGCATAAAGTTGGATGTCACATGACTAAGACACAAAAAACGTGGAGGCTGTTTTTGAAAAATTGGTCCCTAATACATAAGATTTGCGTGTTCATTATGGATCCTTGTCAGCATAAAAGGCAGTAGCAAGTTATCAAAATTTACTTTTCCAGCAGCAAGAAGAAAATAATTATTTGCGGCTTTGGTGAAAGATAGCTCTTTTTATAAACATACAATTAGTTCAAAATACATAATATATGTGAATATACACATACTCTATGGATTAGCCCTCCTAGTACTAAAGTGAGGGTTTTTTTTACCATAGTGACATCTAATATTTGACTAAAGATTTATTTGATTATGGAGCTGTTTATTTGATTAACTTTCAACATAAGGATAAATATTAGTTTGGAATATTGTCAGCACACTTATGTAAGGACAAAAGTAGATTCTTTATGTTCTGGTGCTCCTTATAAAAGAAACACAAACTAGATTTTGGTCTCTTTCTAGCTGCTGTTATAATCACTATACTTTTATCCTGGGACCCTTGTCAGATCAGTAGGGTTTTCAGAGTTCAGGCCAAATTAGGGTGTCTTTAAGAAATGTTTAATTACATACTGACTTCGGTAAATCACATCTGTTGCCTTTCTGATAAGAAGGCACGGCTGGGACATTGCCCTGTTAAAATAAAACATGGTTCATGTCCATTGAGCATACAGGCAAATCTCAGCTGTCAGCAGGGGGATTTTCTAGGAAATATGTTCTCTTCTGTCTTGTCCCTGCTCCCAGACTAAGGATGCAGTTTAAGAGAAGAGAGACTAGATTCTCATATTTCTGCTACTGGGCAACATGCTCTAGGGATACACAACAACAGAAGCAGGTGAATGCTTATGCAGCTCCACTGACAGAGCTTTTTTAAACTCCTTGAGCAGTTCTTGATGGGACCCAGCCAAACCCAGTTTCTCCTCCCAATTCCTTTCCCTGGAGGTGGCTGAATATTTTTCAGCAGCAGCTTTTCTTCTATCCCTGTTTGTGGAAACAGTTATGGAGGGAGAGCATTTAGCCATTATTGGGGTGGAGCCAGTTTTAGCAGCAAATCCAATGAAGAGTATTTAAACTATGCAGCTGCACTGACAGTGGGTAAGGGACAACTGCCTGTCACTTTTTCTGTTCTCTTAGTAGAGAATAACCCCCAGAAGCAGTAAAATGGGAGATTCACCTTCTATCTTGTTACTGGTGAGAAAGCTGTAGTGATTTACACAGGATCAGAGGAAAAAGTGTAGAGCAAGGAGTTCTAATTATAATGCCAAAACTCTTGTGATTTAGCTATTGCTGTTACTCAGGAAAATAGTTAATTTTATTTATAACCCACCACAACTCCCACAGTAAATCAATAAATTTCCTCAAATATTAAATTTAACTTAATGGAGATATCCTATCTCCCAGAACTGGATGGGACCTTGAAAGGTCATTGAGTCCAGCCCCCTGCCTTCACTAGCAGGCCCAAGTACTGATTTTGCCCCAGATCCCTAAGTGGCCCCCTCAAGGATTGAACTCACAACCCTGGGTTTAGCAGGCCAATGCTCAAACCACTGAGTTATCCCTCCCCCTATTTGTAGAATAAAAGTATATATGTAGTATGTATTAAATACAAACTTTAATATACGGGCTTTAAAATATGTATTTGCTTATGTGTATTCATATTTAGAAGGTTTTTATTCCCTCTAAAACTGAATGTTGTGTATTCTGTACTAATGTCTTCACACAAGCAATTTTAGTGGCTGGAGGCTGATAGTTAAATAATTATAGGCATTTAAAATCATAAATGTCTTTGTCTTATTTTTACTAAAGAGAATGTATGTGTGATAGCATAATTTTATAGTGAGACATTGGCTCTTTTTTCTTAGTCTGAATTACTAGTTTTTGAGTGGCATTATTTGCTAGTATTGGCTGTGCAATACAGCTTTTTGTCCTTGAAAAATCTGCTGTGATAAATGTTGCAAGGCATTTTGCTTATCAGGTTATGGTATTTGTATGTCTGCCTTATTCTTCCTAAAAAAAGGCTGTTTCATATGCATGGTGGTCTCAGATGAATGTGTGTTGTTTAAATACTTACTTTAATATTTATTTGCAGAATCGAGATTAGAGGGTTGGTTATCACTACCTGTCCGAAATAACACTAAGAAATTTGGGTGGGTGAAAAAGGTGAGAAATATAAATCGTTGACCTCTATTTAACAGATTTGCTGGATTTTATATTAGTTGCATCTTTTTAAAGACGTGTGACTTCTTTCCTACATATATGTTCTTAATCAGTCTTGAAGATAGTACGTGCACAAATCACTATTGATAGGTCTGAGTCTGTTATGTCAGGATACAGATGGAAGTAGACATTTTTTACGCACCTGCGGCTTACTGTTTGGTTATCTAGCAGTGAGGAGTCTGAACAGGATCCTAAGTCTATAAACTGACATATCCAAGGGCAGATGCCCTTGATAAGGGAAGAAGAGATGAGTTCAGATGTTTCCCTCTTCCTACCGGCATCACCTCCATTTTGCCTTGGTTCAACTTTAGTCAACTGCTCGTCATCTAGGTGCTGATCCCAACAACACACTAGGATAGGTAGGAGATAAAGAACTGGATGTCTTCCCTGAACTGATGGTGTTTCAGCCTGTGGTGTATCTCAAGCTTCCTTGATGTCTTTTTTTTTTTTTAACACAGAACAGGTATAGCATAGGTGATGGTGGTGTCAGCTCTCTCTACCTACTCTACCAACCTGCCTATTCTGGACAACTTTTTGGGTGGGAGGTTTTCTCTTATCTGCTCAGTCTTTGGCTCCTTTATTGAGACTACCAACAAATGTGCTAACTGTGGTGATTTTTGTGAAGGGGACACCTGTTCACTGTGTACAGGACCAATCTGAGTCAAAATTAAGCTAGCAACATAGAAATCAAAGGCTTTGTATCCTGTTAGCAGTTCTATTGGGTTCCATTCCTTTCATCTTTTTAAAATAGGCGTTTAAAAATAAAGAGGTCGTTTGTTCCCAAATTATCACAATTTTATGTCATTGTGCTCAAATTGTAGACCCAAACTACCATTCTATTATTGACTATTTAATAATTAAATTATGAAATAATGTTATGAAAGTATTTGACTTGACAGAAATAAATACTTGAGATAAAGCCTGTATTTTAAGAACTATGTTAATACCTGTGTATCTTTTTTAACAGTATGTAATTGTAAGCAGTAAGAAGATTCTGTTCTATGATAGCGAACAAGATAAAGAACATTCTAACCCCTACATGGTGTTAGATATTGAGTAAGTATTATTACAGGAGATTGTGGTATACATGACTTTGTTAACTTTCAGGTGAACATTAGCAGATGGCTTGAAAAGAAGACAACTTTAGAAAATATTTTTGAGAGCTAATAGTGACACTGTTGTCATATGTTATTTAAACTACAGTTTGAGGTCAGTCAGTGTATGTCTGACTACCTTCTTGGCTGACACACTGGGATCTAGAGACCTCCAGAACTAAGAGCTTGAGGAGCTATAGCTTGAACTGAGGAGCTATAGCTTGAACTAAAGAGCCAAAACTTTATAGCTGGGGGCTGTAATAACTCATATCCTCTGCAGATTGGCACAGAGTGGGGAAACTGTATCACACACTCGGCTGTAGGTTGCAAGTGCAGTACATAAACATAAGAATGGCCATACTGGGTCAGATCAATGTTCCATCTAGCCCAATATCCTATCTTCCAACAATGGCCAATGCCAGATGTTTCATAAAGAATGAAGAGAACAGGCAATCATTGATTGATCCATCCCCTGTTATCCATTCCCAGTTTCTGGCAAACAGAAGCAAGCAACACTCAGAGCATATGGTTGCATCCTTGATCATCTTGGCTAATAGCCATTGATGGACCGATCTTCCATGAACTTACCTGATTCTTTTTTGAACCCCATTATAGTTTTGGCCTTCACCGCCTCCCCTGGCAATGAGTTCCACAGATTGACTGTCCATTATGTGAAGAAATACTCCTTTTGTTTGTTTTAAACCTGCTGCCTATTAATTTCATTGCATGACCCCTGGTTCTTGTGTTATGTGAAGGAGTAAATAACGCTTCCTTATTCACTTTCTCCATGCCCGTCAAGATTTTATAGACCTCTATCATATCACCTCTTTTCCAAGCTGAAAAGTCCCAGTCTTTTTAATCTCTCCTCATATGGAAGCTGTTCCATACCCCTAATAATTTTTGTTGTCCTTCTCTCTTCCTTTTCCCATTCTAATATATCTTTTTTGAGATGGGTGACCAGAATTGCGCGGTATTCTAGGTGTGGGTGTACCGTCAATGTATACAAAGGCAATATGACATTTTCAGTCTTATTATCTAATCCTTTCTTAGTGGTTCCTAACATTCTGCTTAACAAGTGCAGAATGCAGCTATTCAGATTTAATTTGGCTCTTGTCGCTATGTGGTTTAAGGGTTGGAGATTGATATGCAGAGTTGGGAACAGGAGTTGAATAAAGTGGATTTAGAATTTTGTTTGCTGGCAATCTTTACATCACATTGATGTACCTTATTAGCTAAGATACAATACAATTCCGTAATTAATTGTATATATTAAATCAGTACATATAATAATTAGATATAACTCTAATATCAAATTTATTTTTTGCTTTATTTTATTTCTTTGAAATCTACTTCTACAGCAAATTGTTCCATGTCCGGCCAGTCACACAGACCGATGTGTACAGAGCAGATTCCAAAGAGATTCCTAGGATATTCCAGGTATGTAGTTATAAATTAGTGTTTTTAGAAAAATAAACTGGTAAAATTCCTTATGCAAATAAATGCAAGATGCTTCAAAAATATATTTTTTTTAATTAAAGAAGGCACAAGTACAAATGAGAAAAGTAGATCATATAAATTGTCAGAAAATCTAACCTACTCTAATTTGTATTCCTGAATTTTTGCTAACTAAATAATTGCCCTTTTCCTACACCCATTGTGTATGAATCTTGTGGTTATTTTGCTTTAACTCTAGATTCTGTATGCCAATGAAGGAGAAAGCAAGAAGGAACCAGAATTTCCTGTGGAGCCTATGGGGGAGAAATCAAATTACATTTGCCACAAGGGACATGAATTTATACCAACTCTGTATCATTTTCCAACCAACTGTGAGGCTTGTATGAAGCCACTGTGGCACATGTTTAAACCCCCTCCTGCTCTAGAGTGCCGCCGCTGCCATATCAAATGTCACAAAGATCACATGGATAAAAAGGAAGAGATTATAGCACCTTGCAAAGGTAAGTAGTGAATAATTGAATAAATGCATGGTTGCCAATTAACTACAGGGAATAATTCAGATACAGGTTTCTCATAATGATGTGATCTCAGATGAGCTCAAGGTAAAAGATAGCAACTGCTGGAGTGACAGATCCTTGGGTGCATATCAGGATTCTGTTAGGGAAGACCAGCTCACTGGAGTACAGTGACATTCAGACAGCACAGGGACATGTATGCCACATACTTTCAGTGCTGTCAACATCATAGGGAAGGGCTACCCAAAAAGGCTACTTACACAGTGGATTGTGTTGCATTTCGGTATGGGACAGAGATGTCAGTGTATGTGGCAATACAGATTATGACACTCAGAAAAGTTGCTTCCTCTGGGCTGAGTTCCACAGTTCTCTTTGCTCAATGTCTCTTATGGGCATATGAGATGGCTGTAACAGCATATGTTTGTTTCCCTGTATACCTGCTTCCTTAGTAACATGGAGAATAATCATCCCCTTATCCTCCAAATGGAAGAAATAAGAAGGGGGTGCAGACTGTGAATAGATTGGAAAGGCTTCTTTGGCAGGAATGTTAAAGGTGCTGTGGTATAATCTATACCCAAAGTAGCATTGTGATCATGGCAGCCCAAGTGGCAGCTTTATACTGTATAGCACCACTTGACTTCTACTCTGTGCAATTTATGAGAACCCAAGGATCTGGCCATTAGTTTTTAAGGTGAGCTCATGTAAAAAAATTTAATAATGAAATTTTGTTTTTAAATTTCTCTTACAGTATATTATGATATTTCAACTGCAAAGAATCTACTACTGTTAGCTAATTCTACAGAGGATCAACAGAAATGGGTGAGCCGATTGGTGAAAAAAATTCCAAAAAAGCCTCCAGCACCCGACCCCTTTGCTCGATCTTCTCCTAGAACTTCCATGAAGGTACAGCCAAATCAGTCTATGAGACGGCCAAGCCGACAGCTTCCTCCAAACAAACCAAGGTAACACAAAAATTGCTATTAAAGAATGATAATTTTAGACAGTTTCCCACTGTGATACATTGTATTATATAAGTGTTATGGGAAATTCACAAAGATATCTTTTGTTTGTTTGTTTCCTTTTGTATTTATACTATGACTAATGAAATGTGAGACTATCCTGTCATCTTTTGTGAATTCCAGTATACAAAATATTAAGAAGGCTGTGTGAGGAAGCATGTTTCATTTCCTTATTTAAATGAGCCTATCTCTGAATTAAATCTACTGTATGTGTTATATAATAGGCAGAACTGGTAGCACTCATGTAAGGTTGCTTGACGCTTCACATTATAAGATCCTGTTTTCAGTTGCTTATAACTTTGTGAAACTTTAACCATTTGGGCTGAAATTTCCTATGCCAAGTGTCTTGGGACCATTGAAGCAAAAATAGTTAATCTGTTTCAGAGAGTGAGATTAGGGGAAAATATGTTGTTTTGCTCACATTAAAAAAGTTCTTACAGGTATTTCATTAAGAGTTAATAGTGCCTCCATGCTGTGGAGCAGGGAATTTAAATCTGTCAATGTTGGTTGCCTTTGTGTCAGGAATGTGCTTTTTGCTGTCCTGGGGGGACCCAAATTTGGCGAATTTACAAGTCTTTGAAAATTTAGTTCGCACATGCTCAGTAGAGACTTGTTAGAGTTTGGCATCTAAATTTTCTGAAGATTTTGTGTGCACTGAACATGCTGCATCTCAGGGCTGCAGATGCTGAGTAAGATTTTCCCTGCAGGTGCTCCTATAGGCCATTGTGGTTGTTCTGTGTTCTCATTGCTTCTGTGGAGGCACCCAGAAACTAGGCAGTGTAGAGGAGGAGCAGTCTGACTTGAATGCAGAGGGGACAAGAGCCAGACCTCAGGGGGAGAGGTGGGGCAGTAGAAGGAGTAGATTGGGGCAAAGAACTATGTGGGAAGGAGAGGCTGGGGGATAGCTGGGGCTGGAAACGAACTGGCAGAATGGTGGGGAAGACTGGGACTGGCTAGAGAAGGAGACTGGGAGCCAGAATGGAAACAGAGGTCGGGACAGGGATGCCAGTGCACAGTAGGAGGGGAGACTGGGACTGGTTGGACAATGAGACAGTGACAGTGAGCCACGGGAGGTGAGATGGGACTGGGAGTCATGGCGGGGAGGGGGAGACTGGGACTTTGACATGGAGCCTGGAGGGTGAGTTTAGGACTGGCTGGGTAAGGAGACAGGGACTGGCTTGAGCAATCCAGGGCTGTAAAGACTGGGACTGGCTAGGTGAGGAGATTGGGGCAATGGGGAATGGAATCAGAGATTCCAGAATCTCGCCATTCCTGTGCTGTCTACAAATATCTGTGAAAACCTACTGACAAAAATCTCTCTCCGCCCTCTACTCTAGTTCTAGAGGATGACAACATACTACTCTTATCAAGCGACAAAGAGTCCTGTGGCACCTTATAGACTAACAGACGTATTGGAGCATTAGCTTTCCTGGGCGAATATCCACTTCCCTAGACGGACACCTATG